TTTTTATTTGTTGCTGCGGCGCCTCGGTTTCCTCGGAAACGGAGGACGCCGCCCTCTCACGAGGCGCAGAAGAAACCGCAGAGCGTGCTTCTGACGCTCCCGAAGGAGGATTAGATCTCACGGATCCAGAGAGAGAAAGGACAGAGTCCGTCTCCATCTCATCCGCCAGATCTAGCTGCGAACCCCACGACCGAAGTCGACGCTCAGCCTCAGCACGAGCAGGACCCGAACCGCGAGGAGCGTGCGCCACGGGAGCTTTATTAAAGAACTCTCTCCGACTGCGCAGCTCTTTACGGGAGAGAACGTCACAGTGTCCACAGTCAGCATTCTCAAATGCTACCAGGGCATGCTCTTCTCCCAAACACTCTAAACACAAATCATGTGAGTCACCAGCCGTAATAAAGCGAGGGCATGGAGGCACACAACGTTTAAAGTTTTTCTCTGCCATACCAAAATAAAAAAGTAAGTTGTCAGTTTTTTTGTATTTTGTGTATGCAAATCAGTAATGAAAGATCACAGAAAGAGGGTGTATTTTCACGTGCGTGCTTCTTGAAAGCAAAGAAGTTGATACTGAATGCTCAGTACAGGCTTTTATACTCTCTGGTCTGACGACACCTGCTTAATTACATTAGATTGATTTCACATGTGCTTCAAGACGCGTATAAAAGAGGTGTTCCCCTAGCGTTCTGGTTAGTCGCAGTGTTGAAGTTCCCTAGAAGGGGAAATGTGTATTTTCTCCACTTCACAGCACAAAATTAGATATTCTGAGAAAAGCAGCCATTGACATCCATAGTAGAGAGACAAAAAATTACTATGAAATCTTTCCAGCATTTTTCAGTATGCCTTCTTCAATATTCAGCAGAATAATGAAAGTCAAACAGTTTCATTTTGGGGTGAACTAACCTCAAAATTAAGGGAAATTGTAGCTTCTCTAAATTTGATATACACATTAATAACAGAAAATACCCGTTTCAGCTCAAATGAAGAGGACAGCTCATTAATTTTCTTGCATCATTTAAATATCGTTTACTTTGTAAGGTAAAATATCAGCAGTTACAAAGACAAAAACAACTTTTCTAAATTAAATATTCCACAGACATTATGCAGATTCCCATGAAACATTACGGATGTGACGTGCTTATAGAAATACAGTGGCCACATGGGGGCGATAGAGATCAACAGATTTCAGTTTAATACCTTCAAAATGGGGGCGAATCCTAAACATTTCAAAATGACACAATCACAGTTTAATACTAGTAATCAGGAAATATCGAACACACAGTGTACATCTTTCTGAAAAGTCCATAAGTTCATGCTAGCTAGGTAGTGCGTTTGTTGAGGTTTTTCAATGCACAGCAAGTGAAAGAGTGTGATGAAGGAATCATGGGATATTTCTAGATGTCACATTCTTCAAAAAAACCTCGCTCAAATTCAAGCAAGTTCACATCTACATCCAGTTGTTTAAAAATACACTATGAATACTTTTAATGTAATACTTTATTTCTATCAGAAATATGCTTTTCAGCTAACAAATGTTCTCCAGATATTCCAGTCAGGATCCCTTGGTGTTTAATATTCAGTTTTATGGGTCAAGCTTATTTTTACTGGCAACCCTGAGACACTGAGATGATCTGCTCGCTGCACACAACCTAATTTCAACATATTTAAAAACCTCACATTGCGTATTCATACATTTCCGAGGGGGAAAAACATTGAAACATTTGCGTTAGGAATAAACATTTGTCTGTGTGTTTAAATTCACAACATAGTTGACATGAATTCTGTAGCTAAATCAGCAAACAGTATAAATGTACACCTCTTCCTCAAGTAGACCTGGCATCAGCCAAAAACATTCATATGGCTACAGTCAATACAGCAATGACAAGGTTACAGCAGTAAATACTGGCAATATCTTCTGAAGGCCCAGTCATCAGTTTTTTCAATACACCTCTTGTGATTTCGCAAAGCTTATGTTACGTAAAGATGTTTGCACAAGAAATTGTGTTGATACGGCTGCTGCTGCTCGCAAGTCAAATAATGTGTGCTCAATGATTTTGCCAAATGATATTACAAACACTTTAGTAATAATACCACCCATCAATAAAACTACAGATATCATAAATATCTCAAGTGAGGCTCTGGTGAAGTGAAATTCTGGTTAGAATTAACGGTAAAAATTAATAATAAAAATGGGCATCCTTCAGGGTGTTAGCAATCAGACATTTTTGTCACTCAATGGAAAAAAAACCTTCTGAAAATACAAAAGTTGATGTGCCAAAGAAGAAATAAATAAATAAAGGTTTGTAACAATATGCGAGTTAGTAAACTATGAAAAAGTTTTCATTTTTGGGTCAACTGTCATGGCCCAATTCACCCACTGACCAGCACTAAATGTGCATCATATCATCAAACAGATGAGAGCAGAATCATTGGCACTGGATTAGAATAATGACGATGACAACCGGCAAATGTTTGCAAAGCTACAGGCTTCAGATGACAGACATGCTTCAGTATATTAGCATCATTAGCTGATGTCATCTATACATTCACTTATTCCTCGTTTGACTTTTTGTGTATGATGATGTTTGTATGCTCTCCATGTAATGGAAGTAAATGGGAACAAAGTGTAATAGCTCAGCAACAACAACAAAAAGGAGTGTACTTAAAAGTGCAGCAGGTGATTGTCTTCAGAAACATTTTTAGTTGTGCAGGTTAAAAGTCTCTTCACATTCCAATAGTAATGATTAATGAAATGATCTAAATATATTTATATGTATTTTTATATGTTGGGTAAAGCATAAAACTAAAAAAATGTTCATCCAATTAAATATTTCCAGGCCGATAATTTGGATAAGTAGCCCAAACTGTCTGTCAACAAATGTAGATTTGTACATCTGCGCACCTCTGCTCATGCAGACAAATCTGCCATTTGCTGCTGCACAAGAGTTACAGCGGTAACAACAAATGTTGAATCAAAACTTTAAAGTCCTGATTCAATATTGGAGTTGGAGGCTGAAGTATTGCTTCAGGTAATGTTGTTTTTAAATTGTTTTAGTCACACAAATCTGATGTTGTGTTCTTAGGAATGGGTTATATGCTATGCACAGAAGTGTTGTTCAGCCACTGAAATCTTCCAGCGAAAGATTGATTTGACTATTTTCAATTTCATAAGGCCTTTTACAGCATCGATAATGTCGATGTAAAAAAAAAAAAATTTTATTTAGTTTAACAACAAAACATAAGTAAATAGCTCTAATCTGACTAGCCTGCAGCAGGGAGGATGCAGGAGGGAATATTCACATTGGTTCATTTTTGAACAATGATAAACTGTGACACACTTCCTATATTGTTAACCGCGCTACTCTGAATATTCTGTCTGAAATAGCTTGTTAGAATGACAGCATGTGGCTTGCATATGGCTTGCTTGGCATAGTCGCTTTAGGACAAAGCACGTGAGAGAGTGAGATCAGCGGTCCTTGCATGCATGAAATATTGCACATTATGACAAGTTTTGCTTGCTACACAACTGAAAATGTGCTGTGTTTTTCATTCAGAATTGTAGTCGGCTGTTATAAAGTACTATAAAGTTTTCTAGACTTAATCTAGTGGGTTGTCTACCATCATCTTAACCCAAGCGGTGCTCACTGCAGAGCCACATGGAGAGAGCTGAGCTGTGCTTCTTCTACAAGTGATGTCACTAGGGTGCACGTTCAAGATTTCAGAAGGCGTAGCTGTGGAAGGCAGGGGAGGGATTGTGTTTTTAAAGATATTATGCTAACGGATAAGATTTTGGCAAATCACGTACTGCACCTGTAAATTTAAATTGAAACTGGGAAAATTTGACCTGATAGATGCTTGTTTCCACCACAGAATTATATCATGTCTGAGATGTTAAAATTTTAAGACATACAGTTAAAACAAGAATTATGTCCCCTTGGATTTTTTTTCTCTTTTTAAAATATTTACCAAATGATGGCTTACAGAGCAAGAAAATTTTCACAGTATGTCTAATAATATTTTTTCTTTTGGAGAAAGTTACTTGTTTTATTTCGGTTAGAATAAGAGCAGTTCTTAATTTTTTAAAAACCATTTTAAGGACAAAATTATTAGCTCTTTTAAGCTGTTTTTTTTCCCCGATAATCTACAGAACAAACCATCGTTATACAATAACCTGCCTAATTACCCTAACCGGCCTAGTTACCCTAATTAAGCCTTTAAATGCCACTTTAAGCTATTTAGAAGTGTCTTGAAAAAATATCTGATCAAATATTATTTACTGTCATCATGGCAAAGATAAAATAAACCAGTTATTAAAGATGAGTTATTAAAACTATTATGATTAGAAATGTGTTGAAATAAATCTGCGCTCCGGTAAACAGAAATTGCAGGAAAAATAAACAGGGGGGCTAATAAATCTGACTTCAACTGTAAACTTTTGTTGAGTGATATACACCCATTTTTTGAGTTTGTATCATAATTCTGAGTTTATACACAAAAAAGAGATGTAAACTTGTCAGAGTGCCTTTGGTTTACTTTTTTTTAAATTTCATGGTGGAAATAGTCTTTTATACTGTGAAGGCTGTAAATCAACAGCAGCTTGAGGCTAAATGACCTAACAATTCATGAAAAGGGGCAGAAATACAGGTGGAAGTACTTCTGTGTACTTCTCGTCTACTGCTATTCTAAACCTGTGAAATATGTACTGTGTAATGAGTGTACTTCCAGTTTTCACATACTGTAAAGGGAAGTATGCTATAACATAATGAGCTGATATGCTTTGTCAGCGGAACTACAACATCAATGCCAAATTAACAGCAACACAAAATACCCTCTGGAAATTAATTTCAGCAAATCTGCCACTTAATGTAAAAGTTAGGTTCACCATTCACTTCTATTGTATGGAAAAAGAGCAGAGATTTAGCTAAAATTGTTTTTGTTTTCAACAGAGCCAATCGTTTGAGTTTGGAAAGCCACAAAGTAAATAATGACAGAATGTTCTATTTTTTTTTTTTTTTTTTTGATTCCAGAAGCACATCTAATCTTATCGGCTCAAAGACTCACTATAATCACTGTTTGTCTTATTTGATTTGTTGATCCACCTGTGTCATCTCTCTCTTTCTCTCTCCTCTCTCTCTCTCTCTCTCTCATGCACAAACACACACGTAGTCAAGTCAGCAAAAATAACGGCATAAAGCTTGTCCCATCAAAACCTTTCGAGCTCAAACTGAGCCTGTCTCTGTGTCAAACATACTTCATATGGCACTGAAGGACACTGTGTTACCGATTAACTCATCTGGAGCTTAGCAACAGAGGCCATACAAACACCTGGCCGACGGCACACCTGTGTCTGCTGAATCCAAGTGTCTGAATTTATGTAGATCACTTCACCCTTATATAGATATCAATGCTACTAGGCAACACTGATGTAGTGGTGTAGATGGTCAGAGGTCACCTCATGGTCTCGCCATATGTGAAACAATCCTTGAAAACAGTGTAATCTTATATTTGGAGTCTTGAAACTAGACGTACCTTCAATATGAGCTCATAATGTGTCGCTGAGTAATAGTTAGTGTTTTAATATTCTATCATACATACCTACAACTTCAGTTTATAACAACTTAAACATAACCTTCACATCCATTGCGTCCCATTTCGCATAGTGTTTTTTGAGAACGAAAACCAGAGCGTGTCGAAAGCACGTCAGCGGCATACCTTAAATACTCTTCCTCACGCATCTGTTATTCGGCTGATGCATCCTTCACATCAGCGTCTAGTGATTCTCAGTTCGCTTTCCAACGCATCTGTTTGGATACACAGGACAGCACAGTGCAGTCACTCCTTGTTTAGTCAGCGAGTCAGCGGGTCGAGCCTGCTGTTTCTCAGTTGCCAAGGCTGTGGAAAGAGTGGCTCTATTCCTGATCCACTGGAGGCATCAGGCACCCCAGCATGCCCACCAGTGAGGATAGGCCTCTGGGCCGGGGTCCGGACAGGCTCCAGGGTGTCCTGCATGGGCCTACTGAGCGGTCAAGTCAGCTGATCTGAAAGAGATAAAAAAAATAGAAGATCTGACTTGTTTTGTTTAAAGTACAAATGAAATCAAAACTGGCCTTATGATTTTGTTACCAGTTTTGTGGTGAACAGTTCATCTGTGCATGTCAAAGGAAAAAACAATTGTTTGCTCTTGTAATGTAAAATTAAAATCTGAAAATGCACTTCCTGTTTGCTAAATTCTCAGTAATGTGATTTTGAAGTATTAGGCATGGCTAACATAACTACGCCCCTCCACCTGTCAGTTTGGACAACAAGCAGAAATGGCGAACAGGAGGTGTCTGTTAGCTTGTAATAGCTCTTATAAAACCCTTTTCCAGATCTTTCTGAATTAAATGTCTACATTACTACATTCGATTAGCTCACTGGAAGTGGCCAATTAGATGTGTTCTAGGCAAAGCAGAAAAACAGATGAGAAGAGACAACCATAGGGTTGAAACAAAGCCAAGAACCTTATTGTCTATGGAGGATGAGGGAGCTCTCAAATTTATTTTAAAATAATCTTAATTTGTGCTCCAAGGAAAAAAAAGGTCTCAGGGGTTTGGAATGACATGAGGGTGAGTGATTAATACTACTTTCATGAGTAAGTAATAACTTCATGAGGTTCATTTAACATCACTGATAGTGTGATATGTTGTTTATAATAAGAACATTGTCAGCTAGGACGAAGCAGTGGCGCAGTAGGTAGTGCTGTCGCCTCACAGCAAGAAGGTCGCTGGGTTGCTGGTTTGAGCCTCGGCTCAGTTGGCGTTTCTGTGTGGAGTTTGCATGTTCTCCCTGCCTTCGCGTGGGTTTCCTCAGGGTGCTCCAGTTTTCCCCACAGTCCAAAGACATGCTGTGCAGGTGAATTGGGGAGGCTAAATTGGCCGTAGTGTATGAGTGTGTGTGTGAGGATGTTTCCCAGAGATGGGTTGCGGCTGGAGAGGCATCCACTGCGTAAAAACTTGCTGGATAAGTTGGTGGTTCATTCTGCTGTGGCGACCCCGGATTAATAAAGGGACTAAGCTGACAAGAAAATGAATGATTAAACATTGTCAGCTAATAGACCTAAACAATTATTTATTTAGTTGTAAAATATGTTTAAATCTAAGCACTGTAAGCATACAGCAGCAGAGCACAGGGCAGTAATGGATGTCTAAACATTAAAATGGTCTAGTGTTACTATCTATCTACAACTGCACACCACCATGTTGTAATACTGTTTTGAATTAGACCAAACTCCCATTTTTTAATTATTATTTATTTTTCCCCCTTAAAATACTGTATACTGTTTATGTTCTACTCATTGCATGTATACAACTCATTCCAAAAAATTCAATAAAAAATTAAATAAAACTGTCTGGTGTGTCTTTGGCACTGCTGATTAATGATATTGAACAAGGCAGATCTTAAACACAGTGAGTTTATAATGACATGACAGTTCACTGAAAATTACTAGGCTTGAGTAACTGAAAACCAGTAAGTGCATATGGTCAATAATTGCTGCATGGTAACAACATTTTAAGTAAGGAGTTGGAATTTGTTTTTACTTTGTTATTTACTTTTTTATATGTTAAAACAGCAATTATTCTAAATTGTAATAATATTTATTTAATACTATTGTTACTTTTTTTTTTTTTTCAAACTTAGTGTATTCTGATTAAATAAATATAATCTGGGCGGCCAAGGGTGCTGTTGCCTCACAGCAAGAATGTCATTGGTTCAAGCCTCGGCTGGGTCAGTTGACATTTCTGTGTGGAGTTTGCATGTTTTCCCCATGTTTGTAAGGGTTTCCTCCGGGTGCTCCGGTTTCCCCCACAGTCCAAACACATGCGGTATAGGTGAATTAGGTAGGTTAAATTGGCCATAGTGTATGTATGTGAATAAGAGTGTATGGATGTTTCCCAGTAATGGGTTGCATCTGGAATGGCATCCGCTGCATAAGTTGGCGGTTCACTCCGCTGTGGCGACCCCTGATTAATAAAGGGACTAAGCTGAAAAGAAAATGAATGAATGAATAAATTAATGAATGAATATAGTCTATGTGAACATACAGTAAGCAACGTCTTTTAAAAATATTCTTCTAAAAGCTTGCCAAACTTTTGATTAATATAGTAAATCTAAATAATAACATAAAAACATAATGATTATCTAAGAATACTTTATTGTAGTATTGTGGGTTTGTTATTTCCAACCTAAAATAAGTCAGACACAGTTAAGCATGTGTATTCATAAACAGCTCATGTAAAAAAAAATGAATTGTGCATTGTAATGGTGACAGGTGCGCCAGCGCTTTAATCCCAGTGGGTCAAGTGACCCTGCCTTTTTATAAAGCCAGTTCTACAAATAACACACAGATCTGAATTTAACAAACATGGCAACCCAATCCGGGTCAGACATATGCTCTGCATTTTAACCCAAAACAAAGTGTCTGCCAGGCCCTAAAATAACAGCCTGTAGCCCTGCTCAGGTTAGTGTTGCTCCATATTTAGGGCCCTCATCAGTGTAAGAGCTGCGGCCTCTGAGCAAGATTATCTCTAGAGCCACAGCAGAAGGGCTGCACCGCAAAACCTTGGCATTTCTATGGCAACGAGCGAGTGAAGTTTCATAAAAAGATCTTGCAGGGCCTTGAGAAAGGCATGATGGGATGGGGTAATTAACATTGAGTGAATCAAGAAGGTGGTTCGTGGGATTTACAAGGTCCTCTATGCTAAAACTAGTTATTTTTGCCATCTTATATACAGCTTACTTAAAGGGGACCTATTGTGCAACATTTACTGTGTTTGAACGCAGACGTGTGTATAAAACAAGACTACATTGGTAAAAATCCACCCAAAGTCTCTCTGAACGCATGGTTTCTCCTCTTCTCTTTTGTAAGATATATGTAAGCCTCACCAATGACTGATTATCATTAGCATTATCATTAGATCCACAGGAGTCCACCATATCGGCTTACTCACTGTAGTAGCTAGACTTGAGAATTACAATGTATGCGCCATAAAACATTACAGATGTTCTGTTGTCTCTATAGACTCCTGGCAACCAAGCCACTGAGAATATTTAAAGGTGCCCTGAAATTTAAATATTGTTAGTTAGAGTATTGTTAATTTTAAAGATATTTATAAGCTAATGTGCTCCAAACCAGTAAGAAAATTGTCGTTTAGAAGATATAAACTGATTTAAACATACAAAGCTTGCACTTTGTCACTTCCGCTTAAATTAGGGGTGCCCAAACTCGATCTTGGAGGGCTTGTGTCCTGCAAATTTTAACTCCAACTTGCCTCAAAACACCTGCAAGGATGTTTCTAAAATGCCTAGTAAGAGCTTAATTAGCTAGCACAGGTGTGTTTGATTGGGGTTGGAACTTTGGACATTAATGAATCTACGATTGACCAATCAAATGCTCTCTAGTATCTGGCATGCTCCGCCCTCTTCAAGACGCTTCACGTTTTCTCTTCAGTTGATGTGCTTGAGCTCAACCATTCTGTTTAATAAAAAGGGGAGGAGCTACTCTATGTCCCACCAACTCCAAAGGTCCGTTCTTCGTACATGGATTACTCGGTTAGCTGGATTTGGTTATTGACGATTTGACACGATCCAGGAACGTTTCGTTCTTCAAAACTGATCCGAGAGTTGTTGTCATAGCAAAAGTTCTGGTAGCTCAAACCTGGTCGGGAGCAGGTTCAAATCATACAAACAGGATTAGATCGTGTCAGTTCAAGCAAAGATAATACAGAAAGTATGTACCAAATTCTGATATTTTCTTACAGTAGTAGTTATATACACTTGGGAAAATAGTAAACATTTTTTAACTATATATATATATATATATATATATATATATATATATATATATATATATATATATATATATATATATATATATAAAATTTTTATTTATTTTTAATTTTTTAAATAAAACTTATTCAATCTGCACACCCGAAAGTACAAAGACTGCCACCTAGTGGTGCAAAGAGAAAACTGATAATAGACATGCACAATATGTGACTTTTTTTAAAAGCAATACACCAATTAAAAAACACATACAATATTACGGCTACAATATTACTACTATAATAAGGAAAATCCGCTCTAACTGTAAAACTAAATCAATTGCTCTTGACACATGAAAGGGTCAAGCATGCAGCCCACAACAAGGTGTAAAGTTCATTCATTCATTCATTTTCTTGTCAGCTTAGTCCCTTTATTAATCCAGGGTCGCCACAGCGGAATGAACCTCCAACTTATCCAGCAAGTTTTTACACAGCAGATGCCCTTCTAGCCGCAACCCATCTCTGGGAAACATCCACACACACATACTCATACACTACAGACAATTTAGCCTACCCAATTCACCTGTACCACATGTCTTTGGACTGTGGGGGAAACCGGAGCAAACCCACGCGAACGCAGGAAGAACATGCAAACTCCACACAGAAACGCCAACTGAGCCGAGGTTCGAAACAGCGACCTTCTTGCTGTGAGGCGACAGCACTACCTACTGCGCCACTGCTTCGTCCTAGCTGACAATGTTCTTATTATAAACAACATATCACACTATCAGTGATGTTCACTATCAGTGATCACCCGGTGTAAAGTTATTGCGTATCATATTTAACAAATCGTTTACTACTCATTTTATGTAATTTAGCTCACATGGATAATTAAATATTAATCAGATGATGTCATTACGCTGCTGTGCCGTCAGCCAATCATTGCATTGCTGATCATGATTTCGAGGATTGATTGATCAGTCCTTCACAACACACGCAGCGATCTCAGATCAGTTCATCCAGACATTTTTAACTGATTCGCGAACTTGTTTGAAAAACCAAATTAGCTAGAGATTAATTTTCAAGATTAAAAGATCTACGATCTGCCAAATCATCTTAGATTATTTAAGCGAGCTACGAAGAACAGACCCCAACTTTCAACTCAAGTTTCAATTGAGATTATGTCCAACATCGAATTAAACTTTAAGGCACTTCAGCGGACCTTTAAGGACGTTTATATTTAAAGGAAATGTGAGGAAGAATGTTGATAAAGATATAAATAAATTGTTTGTTTTTACTTACCTTGTGGTTCTGAGAATTGTAAAAATATTAATTAATAATTAGATAAAGCAAAACAACATTTCGGTGACCTGGCCCAATCATAATGCTTTTAAATAATGATGATTACTATATAACCAAAATAATTGAATGATTTTTTCCCCATAATTGAATAGCACTACTATAAATTGAAAGATTCTTTTTCATTTTCTTTATGTCAGTGATCTGAATCAACTTTACTCCTCAACAACTACACCAACTTATCCATTGACATTCAGTAACATCCAGTCCAGGCCAATCTTTGACTTTCTTTGACAATCATTGACTGTTTGACTTAATTTGTTTGTCTACCCAGGAGGCACAGGACATTAACATGGCGTCAGATTGATGTTGTACCCCAACGTCATGAGGATGTTGAATTTTGTTTGGAAATGAAAAATCAGGTTGACAACAGAACCCAATGTCAAACTGACCTCAGTGTCCAACATCCAAGCTAAAATCAACCAAATATCAACATCTAATAATGTTACAGCTTGACTTTGTGTGGACATTACCACTATGACGTCTGTTAGATGTTGGATTTTGGTTGCCACACCTGACGAATAAATGTCAGTATTTGATGTCAATATGAGGTTGGATTAAGATTTCATCGTTGGATTTTGGTCACTTTCCAACACAGCCTAAAATTAACCAAATATCACAATAACGTTGTCCTTAGACACTTGCTAGACATTGAATTTTGGTCACCTGACGTCACAACCTAAATCTAACCTAATATTATTGTCTTATGACGCTGTGTCCTTGCTGGGTAAATTCAGCCCATATAAATTATGTGCAACCAGTTACCCTAAAAAATATTAGTAAATCCAATAAATTTTTTTGTCAGTGCAGAATTGAGGATGTTGTTTGTACCTCAGAGGTCCTGGTTTTATTGGTATGTTGTTCTGTGAGTCCATTCTGCTGTGACTCTTCACTATGCTCCTGTGAGTTCCTGCTGTTCCTCGTCCCCATCGAGCCCTGAGTGTCGTTCTCCCAGCGAGCGAACCCTTTGCTCTTGGACGCTTTGTGATGTGGCCTGTACCTCATTTTGGGAAAGGTGTGCGAGCCACTGTCAGCAACAGCCGCCCAGCCATTCTCAGGCCACAGGTGTTCCTCTGTCTGTGTGGCCTGGCTGGTAGTTGCTCTCTGGAGCCGCACTGAGATGCGCTGGGCTGAACCTGTCATCAGGGTGATGGACTTTCCCTCCAGATCAGAGCCAGATGATGGAGACACAGTGGGAAACGTAAACACCTCATCGTCGTCTGTGGAATAAAAGGATATTAGAATGTTAGCATAGATAATTTCGTGAGTAATTTGAATTTGTCAGTCAGAGCTTTTAGGATGCTGTCTTAATTTACCATATATATAATAATACTGATTTTGTCTTAGATAACATGCATAAATATACATATAGAACATGATCAAATAAAATAAAAACAGTAGCATTAAAAACTATATAATAATTCTATATGCATTAAAATCTTACAACCAGATGCATGATTTGTATGTATGAAATGTATGATGTTTTGATATAACATTGTTTTGCTTCAGAAGTAAATTTATTTTGATTTAAAATGTCTTAATTAAGCACAAGAAAAATACTCCTTTAAAGAAAACCGATACATAAAGAAATGTAAGGAAAATGTATAGAAAATAGATATATATGTATTTAAAATATTTTATATTTATCTATCTTTAAGTATTACCTTTAATGGGAAGACAGACTGACAGGTAGCAAAGTAGAAGATAGTGGCTCTGACAGATAAAAATGATATTTAAAGAAAAAAATAACATTGGAGTCTTTATTATAGGACAGACAATGGAGATGACAGCAGTTTTTTCATTAAGTGTATGCTTGTGTGTGGAAAGCAGAGATCACCCAAATATCACGTGAGAGAAAGAGATCACCCTCATATTTCCATTTCACACATTTTTTTTTTAACTCTGAATGAATGAGATGTAGTGCGAAGGTGTGTTTTCACCTTTACAGGTGGGCAGGTTGGGGCTGCTGGGTAAAGAGCTGTGTGTGAGCACTCCAGGAGACACACTGCCCAGAGACGTGGAGCGAGGCAGACGACGACACGCCAAAACCAGCAGCTCACGACACTGTTTATGACAGTTCACTCCACAATCTGAAAAACAACACACTCAACTTAAACAAAATACATTAACCTTGCTACTGTTCAATGATGCAAAGTAACAGATTACAAATGCTCAAATTACTGTAATTGAGTAGTTATTCTCAGTAATTGTAATTTACTAAGTAGTTTTAAAATATGTACTTTTACTTTCCCTTACATTTTTAGTGCTGTGTCGGTACTTTTACTCCACTACTTTGCTTCCACCTGTCTAGCTATAGCATCTAAAATCAACCAAAGTATAAAAGCTAGTGAATTTGCACAAATTGTGCCATGTTCACATCTATCGTGATCTGCTTTATTTAAAAGATTTATGTTTTGTTTTTACCTTTGCACTTGTATCCTTGTTTAATAATTCCCCAGAGCTGGAAACATGGACCACAGGGCGAGGAGGAAAGGCATGTAGAGAACAAAATGGAGAGAGATAATCATGTGATTAAATATGAAATGAGGACAAAAACAGCGGGTTGATGGTTTATGCCATGTGTAATAAACAGGATACTTCCACACATGTTGCACCCTTCCTGTGCAATACAGTGTGAGAAGGTGGATCTGTGTGTGTATGTGTGTATGTGTGCGTGTGTGCATGCTTGAGTGTTTAAAAGAATGTGTGTGTGTGTTAACTCAGCGGATTCCTGTCTAACCATCTGTGTAAATAGAGAACAATCTGAGCAGCAGTGACTGTGACTAAACACTCACTGTAGTGTATAAACTCTCGCTATAGTATCAGCGCTGAGCACTCGGATCAGTGCCAACAGGAAATGTAACGCATTCATTATGTGCATTTCTTTTGTGTGTGTAGAGCCGGCGGCCACTGTTGACAACATAATGTTTAATTTTCATACAATGGCCCCCACAAGCATGCGAACAGCTAAACATCTGAATGCCTTAGTGTTGTATTATTTATATAAATAAATGTTGCATTTGCTGCATTTAAAAAAAAAATAAAAAGCATGACAAAATTCTAAGCTATGTTTTGTAATTCTGGATAATGTAGTAAGTGTAGTAGTAAAAATGTAGTATTAAGCTTTTTGGTAGCAAAAATTAAAAGCTTATTTTGGAACACATTACCTTGAAAATTTAGAGCTTCATCTACATCAACAACTGCACAAAGTTTAAAGCGCAAAATTGCAAAAACATTAAAGGCGTGTCCAAATCTATTCTCTTAATGGAGTTATGGGTGTGTAAACCAATCAGAGACTCCTCTCCCATTCCCTTTTCTTTACTCCTTCACTTTCGTGAATAAGGGACGGTGAATAGTGGAAACGCACTCCACTGAAGACATTCATCAGCCTACATACTTAATTTAACGCAATTGATGCAACAGCAGCCATATTGTGCCACACACCACACACCGCACACCACACCACACACCAGCTGATCGGTGGAGAGGAGAGAGTGTGATGATACCAATTAGGATATGGCAATGGTTAGGAGGCCATGATGGACAGAGGTCAGTGGGCAAATTTGGCCAGGACACCGGGGTTAAACCACTACTCTTTTTCAAAGGACATCCTGGGATTTTTAATGACCACAGAGTCTCACTGAGCAGTATAGAGTCCCCTTCACTATACTGGGGCGTTAGTACCCACACAGAGCACAGGTTGAGCACCAACTGCTGGTCTCACTAACACCCCTTACGGCAACAACCTAGCTTTCCCATGTGGTCTCCCATCCAGGTACTGACTAGGCCCTGCTTAGCTTTAATGGGCGACCATAATGGATTAATTCATGTTATTAAATAGACCTTAGGGACACTACAGGCAGCACGTATTTAATATAAAATTCATTAAAACTGTAATAATGTGAAATATTATTACAATTTAAAACAGGTGTGATTAACTATGTTTTGAACTAGTCAGTTTACTGATCTTGCACAGTTTTTAATGGGCATATAGCATGTTTTAAGGAATTTTGCACTTGCACATGGACCTGCTTGTTTGAAGTATAATGTAAGCTGATTTATTGGCTTCATTAGATATTACTAAAATGAGGTGTTGAGTGTCTGTCTTAATTTGCAATTTTTGGGTTTGCGCTCTCAAGCTAATCTATTCTGTTTACTAAATTTGACTCGTGATTTGTTTAAGCAAAATAATAATGTTAGCTAACAGAAACTTTTGAACAGAAATGTATGTTAGTATTATTTTTAAAATATAATCAAGTTAGTGACTCGCCTTGTACTGTAAAATAGCAAAAATGTACTTAACACTAGAATTAAAAGTGCTGAGAGAAATAGCTAGATATTGTGGTTGGATTTAACCTTTTAAAGCTGTCTGCGTTGTTCAGTGATGTGGTGGCAAACGCAGCTCCAACTAGGTGTTATTGTTTGCACACACACACACACACACACACACACACACACACACACACACACACACACACACACACACACGCGTGCACATACTGCACTTTTGCCACAGAGATTATCTTTGCATAAGTGTTGCACAGCAGAAATCCCCAAAATCTGCCAGTATGCATCATCAGTTGTAAGAAAAGTTTGTTTATTTATTTATTTATTTATTTATTTATTTATTTAAATAAATCAGCCAAATAAAATGATTTCTTACAAATCCAGCGCAGTGTTCACAGAAGGTCGGCTTCAGGTATGTCATCTCCTGGAAGTTGTGAATAAATCCAGGCCCCATCTTGCACTGCAGCAGCGGGTTTGCACGCAAGAAATACGCCATCATCTCATCCTTACTGATCAGTCCATCCCTGGAAAAAAAGGATGACATATTTATATCCTCTCTATCTCATAATGCAACAACTCCTGCTCCGTTATTGTTTTTCCTGTGCCTCAGCAGGTTTTGATACCTAAATGTAACTGTTAAGAGTCAGTGTGCGCTCAGAAGGAATGCATGCAGTCACTCGCCAGTAATGCAGTTTGGGCCCTGTTGTGTTGAGATGAACCGCAGAGAACACCTGGGGAATTCCTAAGTGTGTGTATGATGTTGTGTGTCCTTCACCATAAGTCTTGACCTTCAGTCTTTTACCACTGCTGCAGGTAACCATAACCCTCACTGAGAAGCTGCATGTGCTGGAATGACTAAACCGCTCACATGCTGTGTTTTTAACACTAAATTGTCCAGTATGTCATGCATATTTTGAGTACAACAGGGGATTATTGAACAAATAGAGTCTGTCTTTATATTTAAACATCCAATATTGCTATAAATAACATATTTCAGTTTATAGTACTGTTTTGATTGGGTGAGGAGATTTGAATTTCTTATACTACTGGATGCAATATCTTTGAGTGAAATACTAATTAATGCACATGCCGAAACTCGATAACTCTCTGACATTCACGTACTGTTGCAATTCTAACCTCATGCTCATAGCTTTAATCAGAAATCTATATAATGGTCTATACACAGATCAGTGGTTTTGATAAAATACATGACATATGGTCAGGTCTACCAGCAGAAGTTCAAATACTCAAAGAAATAAAAGTTTAACTGACGTATCTGAGGCAATATTTCTTGAGTAAAAAAAAATTGTCTGATTTTTGCGTTGATCTAAACAAAGTTAAGTAGGTGATGGGCTAAGCGTATGGGTACTGCTGCAAATAAATGAACATTGCAGAAGAAGAAATTTAGTCAAACTCGATTTTACATGTTTTCAAACTGCCATATGTTTTTGCTATTCTTAAAGACACCTTTTTTTCTAGTTACACTTATACACTACCTGACAAAAATCTTGTTGCCTATCCAAGTTTTAGGAACATCACATAATAACTTGACTTCTAGTTGATCATTTGGAAAAGTGGCAGAAGGCAAATTTTTCTGATGAATCTGTTGCCTGTTGTCTTCTGCAGTATTTGTGATGATTGGGATGCAGTGCAACAGATTCATCAGAAAAATTTGCCTTCTGCCACTTTTCCAAATGATCAACTAGAAGTCAAGTTATTTTTTGTTGCTCTTACAACTGGGATCGACGACAACACCTTTGTCAGGTAGTGTACATTTTTGCATCTTAATCTTCTTAATCTACACCAAAACATGCAAGCCCAATAAATAAATGTCCATATTTTTATAAATTATTCTCTTTCATAATTTTTAATAAGTTCACCCATTAGCAGATTTATGAAAGCACTAATCCTACATTTTCTCAATTTTAACGCTGTTTCCCTACACCTCTACATTAAAAATGAATGTCTTCTGGTCTGTTGCTTTTCAGTGGCTTTAGCTTCTCAGACTTCACTGAATGAGCGCTGTCATGCATATCCATGTCAATTAGACCGAGGATTTTGTGATAACATATTTTGCATCCAAGGGTGTACTTACTGTAAAAGGTTTTCCCCAACATCCACATTCTTTGATATCAAAAATTGAGCCATGGTCAGACTTATACTCCATCGGAACCACTTGGCACCTACTCGTATATTAATGGACTTAATTTCCGTCCCCTCGTGGGGCTTAATTTGTGGGCTACGAGCCGATTCAGGAGGTTAGGTCGAGACTGAAGTACCAGTGGGAACAAATCAGACTTTGTAATGTATAGCACTACACCCCTACCTCTTATAATTAAAAATGTATATGAATAAACATTACATACTATACAGTGCTCAGCATAATTGAGTACACTCCCTTTTGAAAATGAATATTTTTATCCATTTCTCAGTGAATATAGACAATGTATTTTTTTTTTTTTGGTGTCTTTTTAACAAATCAAATTTATTAAACAGATTTATTTATTAAAATAACATATTAGTCACCAAACATATTTAATTGAAACATAATACAATTTAATTCAGGCAAATAGATAGGCTCTAGATTTGGCTTCAGTACTGACTAATCTGTAAAATGTATAAACACAAATGTAATATTGTATAGCTTCCTATAAAAAATATGAATTTAAAGGAGAGATTTGTAAAGGATGTACTTATAGATGCTGAGCACTGAATGTGTTCTTGTAGTGAAGGAGAAAGTGCCCAAAAAAATCATCCAAAATCACACAAATGCTCTTTAAAAATGTATTATTGTTGTTTAAATATTACATCACGATGTTGTGTTGTCTGCACGCCATGCTATGCTTCATTTGCTGTGATAAAAACACTTACAAATTTAGTATGGTTGAAAACAACCCTTGGAGGAATTTCCAGACAGACTACACTGACCCTGTCAGAAAGGAGATGATGTGCCGAAAATGTGCCCCCGCCAATATCTGAATCTCTGCCCAGGCTTATAAAGGATCATCAACACTATGAGTTGCTCTCGCCAAAAGAAAATGCTATCAGCATGTTGGCACTGCAGGGGTCTATTACAAGAATCACACATTTTGTTTGTGTGTGTGTGTGTTTCCTACTCACTGGTCTTTATCCAGCACACAGAAGGAATCAAGGAAAGGGAAATTTGCAGCGATGCTCTCAAAGTCTTCTTGGGATATGTATCCATCATGATCATGATCATAGTTTCGAAAGACAGACTTTACATGCAATGAAAAACAGGAATACATAGGAAACATTAGAGAATGTTATTCGATGCACAAAACCAAAATATTTATTAATTAATTGCATTGAAGCATGCATTGATATAATCTACCATACTGTGTAATTAAATTCATCTGAATAAAGTACTGAGGCAGTTTAGATTCTGTGACATAATCAGCCTCTTATATTCAATTACTGAATGGAACTGCAAAGCAATTGGTGGCTTTTATAAATGTGACAAATTATGAAATGCAATGTAGACGAAGAGAAAGCATGAACTGTTATTGTATTCTTACATCCACAACTTTCCTAATGTGTTTGTTGACCACTGAGGGATCTGGTTTGGTGGTTACTCCAGAAGCCCAGTCCAGTGGAGCCAGAGGTTTGTTGGGTGTTGTGGGTGATGTGGGCTACAGAAAGAGAAAGATGTGTGATCAGTTTAGTCAAATCAATTAAATTCTACAAAACAAACCAGTTAATATGCTAAGGTTACATTAAAGCAGATTTAAAAAATGTTTGATGTAATAATCAGTATAAAAGTATCAGTATCAGTATATAAGGTTACAGTATCAATCGTATCATTAATTATATATATTTTATATTTTATATAAATTTTCTTAAAATAAAACCATGAAGAATCTCATTTATAACATAGAGTTCAATTATATATACAGCTAAATTCAGAAATATTAGCCCCCCTGAATTATTATCCCCCTGCTTCTTTTTTTCCCCTCAATTTCTGTTTAACGAAGCGAAGACTTTTTCAACACATTTCTAAACATAATAGTTTTAATAACGCATTTCTAATAACTGGTTTATTTCATCTTTGCCATGATGACAGTAAATAATATGTGACTAGTTATTTTTCAAGACACTTCTATACACCTTAAAGTGACATTTAAAGGCTTAACTAGGTTAATTAGGTTAACTAGGCAGGTTAGGGTGATTAGGCAAGTTATTGTATAACAATATTTTGTTCTGTAGACTATCGAAAAAAACAATTCTTAAAGGGACTAATAATTTTGTCCTTAAAATGATGAAAAAAATGTGTAAAAATTTAAAACTGCTTTTATTCTTACCGAAACAAAACAAATAAGATTTTCTACAGAAGACAAAACATTATCAGACATACTTTGATTTTTTTTTTGCTCGGTTAAACAGAATTTGGGAAATATTAAAAAAAGAAAACAAAGGGGGACTAATAATTTTGACTTCAACAATATATATATATACATATATACATACAGACGCACACAAAAAGAATAGATTTTCACTTGATAGTGAAATGTATGTCCTAAAGGTGTTTTTAACAACTTGCCACACATCTGTCAACATCTAAAGAAATGTGTTTTATGGTTTCATTGCCCTTTAAAATATCTGATTAATTCACATTTAATTGAAACATTCAATTTATTTTTTTTGGAGCTCAGCAATTAAACAAACAAACAAAAGTTTATGTAAATTTATAAATGACGATCTCTGTTTGAGAGATTCGCTCCACTCCAATCTCTTCTCTGATTGGTTGGTGGGCCAAATCAAAGGTTACCATGGGCCAACTTTGGCCCCGCGCCCTAGATTGGGCATCTCTGCTATAATAATACCATAATTTTAGATGTTTGATGCCTTAATTTTATTACAAAAACTAAAACACAAATGCAAACATTATTCAATATTTTGTCAAAAGGTAATATATATTGTCAATAAAAGCTGCATTTTTAAATAATACAATAAAAAAGCTATATTGTAAAAGAACATTACAATTTAAAATAATTGTTTTCTGTTATAACTTCTGTAAAAGCAATGAAGCATTTCCAGCTTCATAAATCACATCTTTCTAATACTCTAATTTGGTCCCAAAACATTTTTTTATTATTGAAAGCTGAACACATACAGTTTTCATTTACCTGCTTTTTTATCAATACAAAAATTCAGAAAATTTTTTACATAAAATTTCAGAAATAAATATAATAATAATAATATCACAGTGTGTGAGCAAACCTATAGTCTTACCTGAGATTTAGGATTACGGGGTTCTCTGAGCAAGGACAGCTCGTAAATTTCATCTTCTGTGTAGTACAGATCCAAGGACAGCTTTACACAAACAGACATAACATTTAAATTGAAACCACTAATTTCACTAGTGCACAAATCTCCAGTAAATTGATTTTGGAGCCCAGATGGATGAGAAAGACTCACGTTGAGCAGGTAAATGAGGTCCATGTTGGGCTCCACCTGAGCTACAGCACTCTGCAGAGACACCAGCTCGTTAAAGGTGAGAAAAAGCTGCTGCATCTTCGCGATGTTCACCTTCCCGTCCTCCACCCAGTCCGCAAACACCACATGTACAGCGATAAGGTCCTTCAGGTGAACACCTAGAATTGGGATCTTGAAGCCTTTGCTTTCACCAAAGGCTTTGCGGTAAGCACAGTAATTACCGTTGGACGAAACCAGCTCTGTCATTTCATTCCAGATCTGTCAATAGCAAGAGAAAATGACAGCTACTCAAATTATTCACCTCTCTCTGTTTTATGTTATACATATCACACGTCTGACCACTCGTTTTTTTATTTTATTGTTTAGGTAATTTCTCAAATACATAGGTCTAAAATTGTATTTGAAATAGTATAAACAACAACTTTTACTTCAATAAACATGTATTTTGCTGCTTTTTAATTGTTAGTAACCTTTATAACTATTAACTCGTTGCAAACTACAGGTTCATTGAAAAGTTTAGGTCTGAGATAGGAATAATTACTAATAGATACCAATAAACAGCCAATATGCTAGCAATATGCAAGTTAATAAGCGACCAGTTATTAGCATGAACTGGTCCTCAAACTACAATGTTGCCTATAAATGAGAACTAAACACCCCTAAATATTTTGCGTGACATATTACAACATATTAAACAAGTGACATCTGCATAATGCCTTTTCATACAACTAAATCTAGTACTACTCTGGGTTATTTTTAAAATATTTTTCTGAAAATCTTTAAATATCTTATAACATTTTTCACTGATTAATGTGATGAACTCCCTCAGCAATGGGAGCTGGCTTTCAATGACAACTTGACTATAAAGAGACAAGGGAGTGAATATATGTACACTACCTGACAAAAGTCTTTCCATGCTTTAGAAACAACAAATAATAACTTGAGCAACTCAACTTCTAGTTGATCATTTGGTATCAGAAGTGGCTTATATGGAAGCCAAAAGTCTATAGATTACACTTATTTTAACCAAAATCAAATATGATCATGCCTTTTATTATTATTTAATTAGGACAGTAAGGTCTGACTTTGCTTAGACAAAAATCTTGTCACTTATCAGAAATGATGTACAGTATAGAATATAAAGGCATGGTGCAGTAAAAGAAGAATGAATACTGTGTATGACTCCTATGAGCTTGGAGGAGTGATGAGCTTACTGCAATGACTCAAATAACTTATTAATAAAGTCATCTGGAAAATGGCAAAGAAAGCGTTCTAGCAGAACTCCCAGAGTTCATCAAGATCCTTCGGATTCATCTTCAATGTCTCCTCTTTTATCTTACCCCAAACATGCTCAATAATATTCATATCTGGTGACTGGGCTGGTCAATCCTGGAGCACCTTGACCTACTATGCTTTCAGAACTTTGATGTGGAGGCTGTAGTATGAGAAGGAGCGCTATCCTACTTAAGAATTTACCCTCTCCTGCGGTTTGTAATGTAATGGGCAGCCCAAATGTACCTCAGGCTGTTGATTTTTCAAACCATGATTTTTCCTTCCCCAAACTTAACTGATTTCTGTGAGAATCTTGGGTCCATGCAGGTTCCAATAGGTTTGTGCAGTATTTGTGATGATTAAGATGCAGTTCGACAGATGATTCATCTGAAAAATCTGCCTTTGCCACATTTCCAAATGATCAACAAGAAGTCATGTTACTATTCTGCTCTAACAATTGGCATCAACGACAAGACATTTGTCAGGTACTGTACTACTTTAAAAAAACGAAACAGCTGTTTTGCAGCGACTGTTGCACCTTAGTGACCTCTGGGCTGAGGTGTGAATGAGTTTCCTTCAGGCGGGAAATGGAGCTGTGACTCAGACCTCCAACCACAGCCATCAATGTGTTGAAGTTCTGCAGGTGGAGGAGTTTCTGAAAGAGGCACACAGAGAGAGGCAGGTTGTCAGACAAACAGACAGTCTGACGAGCACAAAGGGATAAACAGAAGGAAAGGAAACATTTCAAATGACACCATTACTTTGACACAATTCATTGTTTCTTAAGCATGCTAAATCGTCTTGATAAATTTGATCTCTGAAATCGCATGTAAGTATGACTTTAAAACAACTGAACAATGTTGTACTTTGAAAGTCATTGGCTGCCAATGTTTTTCCATATTTATTTTCTGAAGTCCTATCATTAAGGAAAAAAGTCAGAATATAACGCAGACTTAACAAGATCCGAATGTACGAATATAAACCAACTTAACTCCAATCTTGCTTTATTGATCTACAGAAAAAGAGACTGATAGATTGACAGACAAACAGATATTTATACTTATCAATGGATAAACAGACTTTTCAATAAACAGAAACACTAACAGATGGATGAATCAACAGATAGATAAATCGATCGGTCCATCAATTCACATGTGATCTAGGACTTTTCATTGGCAGTGTAATTGCACAAGTGCTGGCCGATCTCATAAAAGCACAGCTCTGCTTTATTACTAGAGCTCCCGCAACTCGACAGCTCAACACTTAACATCTATTAGCTGACACGGATCATGCCCAGCAGGCCTTAAAACAGATACTAAAAGCACAGGCTTTGTACTGAAGGGATGCCTGGGTGCTCTTCACAATGGAGCAGTTTCATTCATCCCCGGTAGCATGAGAGCAGGCAGGCGGCTCCATCACACTCTTTTACTGGCACATATTAACATATCAAAGGGCCTGCAAATGTCATCTAGCTGCTTTCAGAATGCATTGACAGAAACTGGTTTGCTGGGTGAAGGGTCTAACATTTGCGTAATCAACGGTACAATTAGACAGCGTGTCGCTTCAGATATCCGGAAAGCATGCTTATTTTTCAGGATACTGGCCTTTTACCATACTTATCACTGGTTTTCATTTCCTGTTGTTGCATTTCTTGAGCGTTTCCTTTTATATTTAGTTTGTGTTTGATTTTAATTACTATGTATAAGGCTTCTGGAAATTTGTAATGCTTTTTAGAAAATAAACTTTGATTAGCAAGATCTAAATGTTTTGATTCTTGTTGGAAAAGAAGATAAATGCACGTTGTTACCTGTGCAACGTGGATGTATTTGGTGATGACCTCTGCTCTGTGCTGAGGGGTGAGTTTACTGAGAACCATCAGCTGAACCCACTGAGAGATGCCGTTAAACAGAGCAATGGAGCGCTCTAATGTAGGGTTATCTACCAGACAGCCGTGAATCACATAACTCTGGTAATCTGTGAACTGAGGAAATAAACATATAGAGACGATGTTACACTTAGGATTAAACAAAAACAAGCAGAATTGTTGACTTCAAAGATTAAACAAGTAAATGTAAGTGTAGCTTATTTGCGATATATCTTTAAATGATTGGAAGTTTTCAGTAAAACGGTCAGAAAGTGCAGCACAATGGCTCAGTGGTAAGCACTGTAGCCTCACAGCTGGTTCGATCACCGGCTGGGTCAGTTGGCGTTTTCGTGTGGAGTTTACATGTTCTTCTCATGTTGGTGTGGGATTCTTTTGGGTGCTCTGGTTTTCCCCACAGTTCAAACACATATGCAGAAGGTTAATTGAATAAGCTAAATTGAGTGTGTGTGTGTGTGTGTGTGTGTGTGTGTGTGTGTGTGTGTGTGTGTGTGTGCGTGCGTGCGTGTGAATGAGTGTGTATGGGTGTTTCCCAGCACTGGGTTGTGGCTGGAAGGGCATCTGCTGTGTAAAACATGAAATGAACATGAACTGAATAAGTTGGCAGTTCATTCCCCTGTAGCAACCTCTGATAAATAAAGGTACTAAGCTGGAGGAAAATGAATGAATGAATGAATGAATGAATGAATGAATGAATGAATGAATGAATGAATGAATGAATGGTCAGAAAGTTTCATTCTAGTAAATCAGGAATTTATTTAGTGAGTTGAATAATCCTAAATAGTCCTATTTGTTTCTTATTTAATAATGGGATGTCTATTTAATTCTAGTTAATATGTTTTGATGGTTCAAGTAAATAACTATAAACACTGTGCCTCACTTAAATGATTCAGTTTAACCCTAAATCAATGGTCTCAAACTCAATTCCTAGAGGGCCGCAGCTCTGCATAGCTTAGCTCAAACCACCACCAACTCACACCAGTCTCTATTAGTCTTCTAAACTAATAGAACTGAAGAACATCTTCATCAGTTGGATCAGCTGTGTTTGATTAGGGTTGAAGCAAAAATGTGCAGAGCTGCGGCCTTCCAGGAATTGAGTTTAGACCATTGCCCTAAATGGTCCACTTTCATGCGTAGCTCTAAAAAAGACTGATTCATTCTAGTTATTTGTTTGCTTGGATGCTTAGTATAAATAAAGAGTATACTTTTTTTCTATAAACTTAGGACATTTATTCTTATCCTCCACATCTATGTTGTGCAGGGTGCTGCAGGAATCCATTTTGAGACATAATGTTTTCCCTTTATATGCTTCCCTTGGTCCACATTAAAAAAAAAAAAAACAGTATATCATATCATTGTTATGCAGGTGATTCTCAGTTTTGATGTATTATTGAAATGTATATATTAGATTAAATGGATGTATAATAATAAAATGAGGATAAAACTGTGATTTTAGGTTGACCTGCACACTCATATCCAGCTTTCAACTACTCAACAACTATAATTAAACATATTAAAATCCAAATTCATTGACTTTGCCATAAATTGTCCACTGTGTAACTTCTGAAAATCAAATTCATTCAAGTAAATGGTTGGTTTTGGAAGCTTACTATAATTAAATGTATTAAAAACCCTGTTCACTAGTTCATTCAAGTGAATTAGTTCACATTAAATAGTCCAATGTCTCTCATACCTACAATAGCCTTATAAGTTTCAGTTAGCTCTACTGAATTCATTGAATGGTTAGTTTAAATAACAAATAAAAAGCAATTCGCTGATTCATTCTAGTGGACTGGTTCTCCATTCAGTGGTTCACATTCTCATTTGTTGTAATTCAATTCAATTTACTTTAAATAAACTGATTAAAAATCCAACTCATTGACTAGTTTTAGTGAACTGGTTTACCTTTAATGATCAAGTTTCTCTCATATGTACCTTCAGACAGTTCAATCTAATGATCTGGTTGTCTAATTTATTTAAAAATGGATATAGAAAAGTATTCACTGCTTCAAATATATGTTGTAAACTGATGTAAGAAAAATCTGATTGATTCAAATGTTGTGCTTTTCCAGAGCTTTCATCACAATAATTTTCCAAAGCTCAAAAGCTGATTTAGAAGGGAGGAACAGATAAAGGAAGGATGTTTGTTAACTAAAAAAACACTCGAGTGTTAGTGGCTAAGAATAACAATGCAGGGCGATGGAAAAAAAAGAGCATCTCTGATAAGAGAACTAAAAGCGAGTTCTCATATGCATAGTCTTTTTTTCTTTTTATATCACAAAACAAACACACACACATACACACACACACATTATCATCACTGACGCAAGTCCTCCACAGCTGACGGCCTTCCCAAGTGAAAGAAACACTCTATTTTTCCATTTCCACCGTGCACACTAACCGATATCCTCCTGATGGACTTGTACTCTAAGAAAGTGAGATGTTCAGCCAACTCGATGGGTTCCAGATGATCAAACAGCAGTGACGCTTTGCCCTTCTTCACCTGCTTCTTTCGCTGAGTCAGTTTACGCATCCAGTCATACGAGGGGCTGAAGAGACAAACATGGATTAGGTATAATTCAATGTGGTGCCTTTTTGGTTAGTTTTAGTTCACCCAAATATGAAAATCATGTTATTTGTTTATTCTTTCTGACACCGTTCCATACACTTTAAACCTTCATTCATCTTTAGAAACCCAAATTAAGATATTTTAGGTAAATCTGAGAGCTAGCTCATTCTCCATGCACCAAAAAAATCCTCAAAACAGACCTTATTGGCTTCAATGGTTCAATCGGAATATTATCAAGCTACGAGAATACTTTTGTTTACACATAAAATCAAAAAATAATGACTGAAGGAATAGTTTCAACGGTTTCCTTTCCTCAATGTCAGTATAAGGTGCATGTTCAAAAGCACTGTGCACTGATATATATCCTGGATGCCCACACGTGACAACTTCTGTTTAAAATAGAGATAAAAATAAATAAGTAAATAAATAAATAAATAAATAAAATAAAAATTATATAAAGCACAGGTGCATCAGAGGTAATATGTCCAAGGTTCGAGTGAGCGAGCGTGCGCCCTATACTGACATAGAGGAGAAGAAACTGTTGGATAAAGTTGAAATTTTTGTTTTGTGAGCGAACAAAAGCATTAAAGTAGATAATATTATAGTATTCTGATAATATTGTGATTAAACTAATGAATGCACTTTAAAACAATTTAAAGACAAAAAGTAAAGACAATTGTTATGATAGGACAATGGCTGAATAATGGCAATCCAAGTATAGCAATAACAAGAAAAGTCATGCATGCAATGGTCAAAAACAGGAGCATAAAGGTAATCCAAAATATCAAATCAAAACACAGGCTAATGGTCAGGCTAAGCGGCAAGGAATCCAAAAACGTCAAATAAGCAAAAAGTAGGGATGGTTGGCATGAAACTGATGTTTTGACACAGTATTGAGATCCCGAAGCGCAAGTCTTTTCGAAAAACACCAAGGTTACATGACTAAAGCGATTCAAAGCATCAGTTATTTAAGAAGTGTTTCGAGACCTGGCGAATCTGCGTTGGATTGACAGGTCGGAAAAAATCTCATTTAGCTAGTGGACTGTGCATGTACAAAGTAACTGTGCTACAAATGGCTACAAAAGTTTGAATACCAACTCTGAAAAATAATCTGAAATTATGATGATGTATTTTATTAAAGTTACTTTTTAATGACCAAAACAAGACTTATTTATTCACAAAGTTTTCATTTGGATGTCAGACCAATGTTAAAACGAAACACGTTACAAGAATGGAGCACTTAAAAACTAATATCTATAACTGCATCACCCTGGATACGAACCCATTATCTCGGCATGCTAGTCTGAAACTCTCACCACCTCACTAAATCACTTGAGGCCTCAACTCTACAATGTTAGGTTTACCACCAAAATTTGCTTAACTGTTTCTTTGTTGAAGCTTCCAGAGGAATACATAAAATTACCACTAGGTGTCACTGTGGAAATGGTTTTTTAAAAAGTTTCGAAGCAGCAACACATTTACTTCGACAGTTTTAGTGTTTCATGAAGCCTCACTTTGCCCATGACTAGCAAAAATGTCAAAACACTAGCATACTAGACAATAAAAAAAGTTTTGTAATGTTAGCAGAAAAACAAGACTCAGCAAAGTGTCTGTGAAAGCAAGTGGTATATTTAGTCCATGTAATCAGTAATCATGACTTTCAACTGTGTGGGTGTGTGTGTGTGTGTGTGTACAAATTATTGGCAGCTGTGGCAAGAGTTGATGACTGATGATTGCAAAGAGTTCTTGGAGTTGTAGTTCAGTAAAAATACCAGAAGTAATTTCCAGCAGAGAAAACACTGCTGGTGATCACAGCAACAGCAAATAATAATTTATGTTCCCCTTCGGTTGGGGAACTTCAGTGCCATGAATGGGAGGATTCGGATCAGAAGCCGCTTATCTGGAGAGTATTGAACGGGCCAATGAATGAAATTAATTGGCAGCGTAAGCTTGCGCAGGTGTGCGACATCTGCAATCATCTCAGCATATAAGCACACCTGAAGCCAGCAGACGCCATCCTTTTCGCTTCAGATCCTTTCTGAGTGAGTCGATGAGGGTTCCTCTTGCTGATCAGCACTTCAGAGCGAACGAGTGTGTCTCCCGGTCCAGAGTGGGTCTTCGCGGTGGCAGACGGTCGAGCTGGGTTACTCCCTTGCCTGCGGTTCTTTGGGTCCGGTCCTCCAGAGCGGTGCGTATAGTTGCAACTTTCCTAAAAGAGCAACACAGTCGTGCAGCACGTCCTTTTCAGGATGGCGCTCCGACTGTGCGTTTCTGGATGCGGGGGTTTCCTGTCTCCGGATGATGGACACGATCACTGCATTGCATGTTTGGGGGTCCAGCATGTTAATGCGGTGCTCGCGGGCGGTTCATGTCGTCATTGCGATGCCATGACCGTTGCACAGCTAAGATCGCGGCTAACTTTCGCAAGAGAGCGAGCCACCCCAGTTGCCTCCTGTTCTAAAAAAGCAGCGGGCGCTCGGGCAGATCTGAGGGTTTCAGCGGGAGCTAATCCGCCGCCCACGGGCTCGCGGACCTCTCGCTCCTCACGGCGCTCCATCCAAGCTTCGGGTGGTGAGAGTGATCCGTCTAACCAGATGGTAGCTCTCACACTCGCTGACACCGGAGATCAGATGTCCTCCGCGGCATCGGAGGGTGGGCTTTCACTGTCCGACGAAGATCCGGACCCGCTCGCCCCCTCCGGGCAGGTGAGCGCTGTCAAATCGGATCCTGAAGCGGACATGTTAGCCGTGCTTTCCCGGGCTGCTTCGGCCGTGGGGTTGGAGATGGTTTATCCCCCAGCTCCGCGGCCGGACCGACTAGATGGGTGCTACGTAGAGGACCAGAAGGCGAAGCCTTCGAAGCCTCTCGTCCCCTTCTTCCCGGAAGTGCACAGTAGGCTCACGCAGTCCTGGAGGGCACCTTTCTCTGCCCGTGCTGCGAGTGCCTCCGCCCTCACCGCCCTTGACGGCGGAGCTGCCAGGGGGTATGAGGCGATCCCGTCAGTGGAGCGCGCTATCGCGGTCAATCTTTGTCCGCGCGGCGCCTCTACGTGGCGGGGTTTGCCCCGCCTCCCGTCCAAAGCCTGTAGGTTGTCTGCCTCCCTCGGAGCCAGAGCTTATAAGGCTGCGGGCCAGGCTGCTTCTGCTTTGCACGCGATGGCCACCTACCAGCGCTACCAAGCGCAGGCGCTGGCCGAGCTGCACGAGGGCGGGTCCAACCCAAGCTTATTACATGAGCTGCGCACCGCGACCGACTATGCTCTTCGGACTACTAAGTCCGCCGCGTGTGCGCTGGGGAGGACGATGTCCACACTTGTGGTTCAGGAACGCCACCTCTGGCTAAACCTGGCCGATATGCGCGACGTTGACAAAGTTCGCTTTCTTGACTCGCCCATATCCCAGGCTGGCCTGTTCGGCGACACCGTCGGTGAATTCACCCAGGAATTCAAGGCGGTGAAAGAGCAGTCGGATGCGATGGGCAATGTCATCTATCGGCGTGGCCGTAAGCCCGCTCCGCCCGCCGAGCCATCCACCTCCGCTGTTCCTCGCCGAGGGCGCCCGCCAACGAGTGCTGCCCCGCCCCCGCCTGCGCCTCCGGCCAAGCGGGCGCGGCGTTCACCTCGAAAGCAGGCAGCCCCTCCTGCCCAGGGCGCCGTTAAGTCCGGTAAACGGACCGCGAAGCGTCCCTGAGACAGGCCATCCGGAGAAGAGGAAACTTGCTCTTTCCCCGCTGGAGGGCGGGGCCCCGATAACAACGGTACTTTTCAGTGCCACCAAAACATCAGTAAAAGAGCACTTTTTCCCTTCCCCGGATGTGACTGCACGAGTTCTGCCAGTCCGGGACGCGCTGCCCTCCGGCTCGCAGACTCTACGTGCTTCGCCAGTGGCTCACGAGCGCTGGGGGGACGGTCTCCCTTCCCTCAGCCCTCCAGCCCCCTCTCCGGAGTCAGGGTGCGGAGCCAGAGCGAATCGCTCTCCTCCAGCTTTTCCGCGGGACCCTCGTGCTTCCCGGATCAGCACACCCACTCCGCGCTGCCCCACCGCTGGTACGTCAGCGATTGTAGCGATGACTCCATTAGCGAGGGCTCTGCCTGCCTGGTTAGCGCGGGCCAGCCCCTCGCGGTGGCTCATACGCACAATCAGACTCGGTTACGCGATTCAGTTCGTGAAACGGCCCCCCAAGTTTACGGGCGTGTATTTCTCCAGGGTCAACCCCCTGTCCGCCCCTGTCTTGCGAGAGGAGATTGCTGCCCTCCTGGCGAAGGGTGCAATCGAGCCGGTTCCTCCAGCCGAGATGGAGAGTGGGTTTTACAGCCCATACTTCATCGTACCCAAAAAGAGCGGTGGGTCACGGCCAATCCTAGATCTGCGCGTTTTGAACCGCTGTCTGCACAAGCTGCCGTTCAGAATGCTCACGCAGAGGCGCATTCTCCAATGCGTTCGTCCTCGGGATTGGTTTGCAGCCATAGACCTGAAGGACGCGTATTTCCATGTCTCCATTCTTCCACGCCACCGCCAATTTCTGCGGTTTGCGTTCGAGGGTCGAGCGTGGCAGTACAAGGTCCTCCCCTTCGGGCTCTCTCTGTCTCCGCGGGTCTTCACCAAACTCGCGGAGGGTGCCCTAGCGCCCCTTCGGCTCGCGGGCATTCGCATACTCAGTTATCTCGACGACTGGCTGATTTTAGCCCACTCGCGGGAGCAATTGATTATGCACAGGGACGAGGTGCTTCGGCATCTCCGCCTACTGGGGCTTCAGGTCAACCGAGAAAAGAGCAAACTCGCCCCCGTGCAGAGGATTTCTTTTCTCGGGATGGAGCTGGACTCGATCACCATGGTAGCGCACCTCTCCGAGGAACGCGCTCGCCTGTTGCTGAACTGTCTGAGGGAGCTCGACAGCAAACTAGTGGTCCCACTGAAGTTCTTTCAGAGGCTCCTGGGGCATATGGCATCCGCAGCCGCCGTCACGCCGCTCGGGTTGCTCCATATGAGACCACTTCAGCACTGGCTTCACGATCGGGTCCCCAGACGCGCATGGCACGCGGGCACACACCGGGTCTCGGTTACTGCGCTGTGTCGCCGCGCCCTCAGCCCTTGGAACGACCCCTCGTTCCTACAGGCCAGTGTGCCTCTAGGACAGGCGTCCAGCCATGTTGTTGTTTCAACAGACGCTTCCAACACGGGTTGGGGGGCCGTGTGTCGCGGGCATGCGGCTGCGGGCCTCTGGAAGGGTGCCCAGCTGCATTGGCATATCAATCGCCTAGAGCTGTTGGCAGTGTTCCTCGCTCTCCACCGCTTTTTACCGGTGCTGGAGCGGCAACACGTGCTGGTCAGGACGGACAGTACGGCGGCGGCGGCGTATATCAACCGCATGGGGGGTATGCGCTCTCGCCGCATGTCTCAGCTCGCCCGCCGTCTGCTCCTCTGGAGTCACCCGCGGCTGAAATCGCTGCGCGCCATTCACGTCCCAGGCACGCTCAATCGTGCAGCCGATGCGCTCTCACGACAGCTGTTACGCCCTGGAGAATGGAGACTCCACCCCGAGTCTGTTCAGCTGATATGGGCGCGATTCGGGGAGGCCCAGATCGATCTGTTTGCTTCCCCCGAGAACGCTCACTGCCAGTTGTTTTTTTCCCTGACCGAGGGCTCTCTCGGCACGGATGCACTGGCCCACAGCTGGCCTCGGGGCATGCGCAAGTATGCGTTTCCCCCAGTGAGCCTGCTCGCGCAGTTTCTGTGCAAGGTCAGGGAGGACGAGGAACAGGTTCTGCTAGTTGCGCCCCTTTGGCCCAACCGGACCTGGATATCAGAGCTCTCACTCCTCGCGACGGCCCTCCCCTGGCGGATCCCTTTGAGAGAGGACCTACTCTCTCAGGGACAGGGCACCATCTGGCACCCTCGCCCCGATCTTTGGAACCTCCACGTGTGGTCCCTAGACGCGAGGAAGACTTAGGTAACCTACCGACTGCGGTGGTTAATACCATCACTCAGGCTAGAGCCCCCTCCACGAGGCGCGCCTACGCCCTGAAGTGGAGTCTATTCACTGAATGGTGCGTCTCTCGCAGAGAAGACCCCCGAAATTGCCAGATTAGTGTTGTGCTCTCTTTCCTTCAAGAGAAGTTGGACAGCAGGCTGTCGCCCTCCACTCTCAAGGTTTACGTGGCCGCCATCTCCGCTTATCATAGCGCGGTAGCTGGCGGCACCGTGGGAAAGCATAACCTGGTCATCCAGTTCCTTAGGGGTGCTAGGCGAATTAATCCATCTCGCCCCCCTCTCATGCCCTCTTGGGATCTCGCCCTCGTTCTCACGAGTCTGCGATCCGATCCCTTTGAGCCACTCGAATCAGTATCTCTAAGATTTCTGTCCCTGAAGACAGCTCTGCTGGTTGCGTTGGCCTCCATCAAGAGGGTCGGGGACCTGAAGGCATTTTCGGTCAGTGACTCGTGCCTGGAATTCGGGCCGGATTACTCTCACGTTATCCTGAGACCCCGCCCCGGTTATGTGCCCAAGGTTCCTACCACCCCCTTTAGAGATCAGGTAGTGAACCTGCAAGCGCTGCCCCCGGAGGAGGCAGACCCAGCCCTTTCTTTACTTTGTCCAGTTCGCGCTCTGCGCATTTATGTGGACCGTACTCAGAATTTTAGATCATCTGAGCAGCTCTTTGTCTGTTATGGCGGTCGGCAGCAGGGAAGTGCCGTATCGAAACAAAGATTATCCCACTGGATTGTGGATGCCATTTCACTCGCTTATTCGAGTCGAGGTCAGCCGTGTCCCCCGGGAGTACGTGCACACTCCACTCGGAGCGTTGCATCCTCTTGGGCGCATGCACGCGGCGCCTCTCTAACAGACATCTGTAGAGCTGCGGGCTGGGCGACACCCAACACATTTGCAAGGTTTTACAATCTGCGAGTGGAGCCGGTTTCCTCAAGGGTATTAGGTAACCCTTTGGTGATTGAGGAGACAACTCGGTAGGGTGTTGAAACACGCTTGCTGCGCCATTCTCCCTAACACGGAGGTACGTGCGCCTTTTTTATCTGTCAGTAAAGTTCCCCGTCAGGTGAGCCCTGCAGATTCCTCCGTGGCCCCCAGCACTGACTCAGCGGAGGAGTCACTTGCTGGCCCACTACGTTGTAGGTCTGCCCGCTGGTCAGCCCGCGTTTTGGGTATAGGTGCCTGCTATGCGTGATCCCCACTAGGCGATCCCATATGCTTATTCCGCCACGGTTAAGTCCCCCCCCTGGGCGGACCCGTGTCTTCCCTCTCCGCTAACCACTCTTTGCTATGCGTACTCCCCCTTTTTAGGGCTAGTCCATAGGTAAATTCTGCCATCTATCCCCCCCTTGGGTAACGGATGGCCTCCGCAGCGTCCTCCCTATCGGGATTGCACGCTTCCCAACGTACTGTCGTATTCCTAGAATTATCTAGATGCTCACGACTTCCCAAAAAATATATCTAAATCCGTAAAACTTCTGTTGAAGTAGGATAAATTAGGGCCAGGGACACGTTGGAGGACCGCGCCCCCCATGATGTGGGTGCGTCACGCTTGCTTGACTATCTCCTCATCGGGGGTGTTGGTAAGGTGCAGTCATTATGGCGCTTTCCATATTCTCCCATTCATGGCACTGAAGTTCCCCAACCGAAGGGGAACGTTCGAGGTTACAGAAGTAACCCTTCGTTCCCCGAGGAGGGGAACGGAAGTGCCATATTCCGTCGCCATAATGACTGTCCCTTAGCTGTTTGAAAGTCTCTTCAGCTTAAAAGGATGGCGTCTGCTGGCTTCAGGTGTGCTTATATGCTGAGATGATTGCAGATGTCGCACACCTGCGCAAGCTTACGCTGCCAATTAATTTCATTCATTGGCCCGTTCAATACTCTCCAGATAAGCGGCTTCTGATCCGAATCCTCCCATTCATGGCACTTCCGTTCCCCTCCTCGGGGAACGAAGGGTTACTTCTGTAACCTCGAACGTTGCTTTAACTTATTTACATAAGTTAATCAGGTTTCAGATATACAAAGTTTAACTTAATATTTTAGTCAGTTTGATTAATGTAAGTTGACTAGAAAGTTCATTTGATTCAACTTAAACATTTAAGGCAGCAAGAATTTTCTTACAGTGTGAATATGTCTGTTTTGGGGAGGTTTTGAGGCATTATTTTGGACTTTAAAAGAGTCTGTACTATTGCTATCTATGAAGGATGAGGGAGCTCAAAAAAATCTTCATTTTTGCTCCAAAGATGAAGGAAATCTCCGAGATTTGAAAGCATGAGTAAGTAATAACATTTTCAGGTGAACTAACCCTTTACAATATTGTAAAATGTAACACTATTTACCCAGTATACAAATAACAAAATCTCTATACAAAGTCAGACTGTAGAGCACAAACACACATTTTGGTTTGAGCTCATTACCCAGATGTAACAAGACATCTGCCATTATCAAATAAGATAATCATGAAATAATCTCATGAATTCTGATGTGCAAATTTGAATGCCATTCAGTGTTAATGAGGCTAAACGACAGGTGCATAATGCTGTACAATCACTTCCACATAATGGGAATCAATGATTAAAACACATGCTCATTAGTGCCAAGTTATTATTTCACAAAAGGGCAACATTTGAATTTATAACAGAGTGTCTTCATTTCAATCTAAACGCTACTCTTCATCAAAAGCAAATAGGTCAATAGTAATAATGTCATAGTCAATGAAGGGCATGTTGTGATGGGATACGCAGAGTGTTTGTGTGCTGTACCGACACTTACATTGTAGAAATGTCAAGTAGTTTAATGTGTTTGTCTCCACCAAGCTCAGCGGCTGCATCTCGAAACTCTTCTGTAAGACGGATCAGACCCAGATCCAGATCAAACTCTGCAGGGAATTCAGCAATCCAGTACCTACACAACATAGGTTTGAAAACTGTGAATTGTTATGAAATTTCATTACTGTGATTAAACAGTAGCACTTTAATTTTACAGTTTGTTTGGCATGAACATATTATGTAAACCAACTCATGATCTTCGTTTACACAAAAATAAAATTTACTCACTATTCACTGTTCCTTTTTTCTGTTGAACACAATACAAGTTATTTTTAGAATGTTCAAAACTGTTAACTATTGACTCCCATAGTAGAAAAACCAAATACTGTGGAAGTCAATGGTTACAGGTTTTCTATTAAAAAGCAAAACTTCTTTTATGTTCAACAGAAAAAAAGAAACTCTAACAGATTTGTGACAAGTGAATAATCATATTTTCTTTTCAGTTTTGATTAAACTACACTTTTAACATTAAATGCAGCAAAGTTTGATTTAATCCAGCACTTTCTTGGAAAAGTACATGTTAAGTACACAAAAAGGGACTAAAATCTTTGCAGATTCACTTTTGTTTTTTTAAGATTACTGTCTGGATTTACTAAAAGCACACAGTGAATAATTATCACTATGACTATTTTACACATTTAAGGAATTCTCATTCCCCTTCCCAAGGAGGTCCCATAATATTAATATTAATAATAGACCCTTTTCATATTTCTAAACTTAGAGTGCAGTGAATGGGAGTCAACAATCATATTTGCTGAAATAATAATAAATAAATAAAAATGGTGTTTTCAAGACTTTCAGAAAAAGGAAATAAATTGTGTGAGACTGATGGAGGAGGATAATAACGAATAAAATTTACTCACAGCTGAATAGACGCTGCATTAGAAACACTTATCATTAGCAGTAAGTTGTTTTTTGTAATGTGGCGCAAAGATGATCTAATATATACATAAATGCATAGAAATGTTCATATGTTTTTTTTAAAACTAAATACTAAAAACTTTCAAGGATTAAGATTATATGACCGTTAAATGCGTAATAACAGGCTTGTAAAAAGGGTCCACTATAATAATAATAGTAATAATAGTAATAATAATAATAATAATAATAATAATAATAATAATAATAATAATAATAATAATAATAATAATAGTAATAGTAATAATAATAATAATAATAAAATATGAAGTATAAACGTAAAGTTTAAAAATGTAAACAACATGATTTATAAATGTTTTGTGTCTTAACAGATTTTTAAAATGGAGTCTACAGTGTTGAGTGTTGGGGGTCTGTTCAAAAAGGAGATTTTATTTTTAGCAAAATCAAAATGATTCGAATCAAAAATGTTCAGATCAAAATGAACACACATTTTTAGAAGATAATTAAAATACCTCATTGGATTGGGATAAAAGAAATAAACAGTAAATTTATAACACTTAATCAAATTAATTAAATTAAAATAATGTAAATTAAATAGCAAAAAACAAAACAAAAGCAAAACAAAGTGATAATGACAAATTATTAAATAAATGACCCAAATTATTGATAAAAAATAAATAAATACATTCTAACAATGTAACCAAAAAGCATTTTAGACCTATTTATAACATTGATGCTCTTGGTCATTATTAAAAAATGATCTGCAACTTTTATGAGATTTTATGGGATTGTAATGTAATGTGTTTTTGCTTTGTTTACTAATTCTGCCACAAAGTGTTTGACAGTGAACAAATGTTCTCCAAATTCAGATAACTTTCACATAGTATTTTAAATACTCCAAGCAGATTTTGTTGTCATGTACAAAACTTGTACATTTTCGAAAAAAAGACGCATTTTTGCCCAATTACATGATAAACATCAGTTTCCTGAGGCCGCGTGCAGTTCTGCTTGTTGTCAGGTAAGATGTGAAACTACAGCCTTGAGAAACTGTTGAAACGCAGCCTCGCAATACTTGTGGGGAACTGTAACCTTGAGCACAGTCTGTCTAAACCACAAACGCAAAACATAGTAACAGCTCAAAATGCTGCAAACATTGGTTCTGTAGAATTGTGTTTTTTAAATTCATTTAACCTTTACAAGAAAGCTGGTACAATGTTTGTTTCACTGCAAAAAAAAAAAAAAAAAAAAAAAAAAAAAACATAGTGTGGATGGCATGAGACTGGTTTCACAAAGACATGGTTTCAACTGGTGTTGTGCCCTGAAAATGGGTTGCAGGTCTATTCTAGGTTACAGACAAAAAGGCAAAAAATAAAAATAAAAATAACTAACCATATAGTCACACAGGAAACATTACTATAGTAATTTACAGTAAATACTACAGTACTTTTGAACCATAGTGAAGAGTGTTACACTGCATATATTATAGTATTTACAACTAGTTTTTAATGAATGCTACAGTACAATGTACTAATGTACTGTAAATATAGTTAACTAATAAGCTGTAATAAATATTGTAGTATACTTTAGATTTTACCACAGCAAACTGTGGTGTATTATAGCATAATATATCCTTGAGTTGTAGAAAACTCCAGTATTGAGTCATTTGATTATATTAGTTTACTAGTACTTTACAATCAAAATATTAAGGTTTTTTAAACACCAAATATCATGTTAGAATAATTTCTCACCAATCATGTGACACTGAAGACTGAAGGAAATCTATTTTAAATGAGATTTTTTTAAAATTACATTTTACATTTTAAAAATTAAATTATAATATTTCTGTTGTTTTTAGTGTACTGATTATATAAATTAAGTCTTGTGAGTATATTAGATATTTCTTTTGGATGTTGAAGTACATTTACAATATTTAGATGAAAAGTTAATTCACTGACATGAATAATGTTTTAGTATAAAACTTCAATATAAGTCGGACAATTTGCTTCCATTTCCACATTTGGAGTGGCGGTCCTTCTGTTGATGTTAGATTTGATGGATTCAGCCATGGGTTGCCAGGTTTTGATTACAAAAATAGACCAATGGCTAATCAAAAGTATCCCAAAAGTAACCCAATTGCCATTCAAACTAACCCTAAAAAACCCAGTCCCAAACAAAAAATATGGTGTGTCCATACAAAAATTACATATTTAAAAAAACCCCCAGAGACACGGATCAAGAGTAGCCCAATTCCAGTTACTTGGCAACACTGCTTAAGCCACAACATTCCTAACTATGCCCTTCTTACTATGCTATGAGAGAATGATGGGCAAAACGAAAGCCCTGCCCCCTACTATAATATTTAATTTCAGGGGAAAATACATTCTAAACAAAAAGTGTCAGATACTTCTGGTTCATATGGACTTTAAAGTACACATGAAATTAAAACTAACCATGTTGTTAGCTCAAATTGCTAGTTTTGAAGTGAACAATTCATCTGTGCATGTGATTAAGAAAAGAAAATAACTTTGCCCTTGTAATCTAAAATTGAAATCTGAAAATGCACTTCCTGTTTGTTTTCAGTGAAATTCTTAGATTAAATCTTTCTGAGGTATGGGGGAAACTCTAGATAGGATACAGCTGCAGATACACACATAAATTTAGCATCAATTTTGTGACTGTAGAAAAATAATTAAGATTTTTAAATTACCGTCAGGGTTGTGTTACAACTCCTTTGATGTTAGTTTAGGGAAAAAAGAATAACATTTAGGTGTGGCAGTTTTACCATGTGATGGTGGAAGCAAGAAGAAAAATGTCAACTAAAGTGATTTAAGTTACAGAAGTAGAAACCATAATAAAATTCACAAATTTATACAAAATTAAGGTTTAGGGTAGGGGTAGATGTTAATAAAATACAATTTATTGGGTAATTTAATAAATAACTTCAAAAATACTCAATATAATTACTGTTTTAGGATAGAGGTTGGGGTAGGGGTAACTTAATAAATAATATAGATAATTCTCGTTAACTTCTGGCCGCAACCATATCTCATCTAGCATAAAACGGTATTGGGCATGGTTAACATACTTTACCACATCCCTTCAGCTATCATTTTGGACAGCGCTATGACAACAAACAGAAATGATGATGAGGAGGTGTCTGTTAGGTTCCAACAAAGACTCTAGAATACACAAGACATGTCACTCATAGTTTAAAATGGCTAAAAATGTTATAGTCAACATGGCGAATGAAGCCCCGCCTTTTAGTACAGCAGCCAATCAGCGATCGCTAAAGACTGATGATTCTCTGGGGAAAGGCTCAGACCAGATGTGAGTTTCTGCAAATTTTGTGTGATCTGAACATTTAGAAATTAAACTCATGAGAAAGTTGTTGTTTAATTTCATTGGTGATTCATAACATAAAATTTAATCGGAAGCTTGGCAAGCAATTTTGGAGAATGTTATGTTTCTCCATTCAAGCTGAATATCCGAGCAAAGCGCCAGAGAAGCATTTCAGAGATGGCCGTCGAGTGAAATGACTTAGCTTAAAGTGACTTTTGTTATAATAACTCTCCCGAACCATTTTCCCAATCTTCCTGAATAAAAAGCTTACTTTACTACATTCAATCAGCTATCATTAGAAAAAAACAAGCCAAACCAACTGTTTTCTTAAGAAACTGCATCACAATTTGAAAAAAAAAATATATATATATATATATTCATGCAGACTTTAAAATGCACCATACACACAAAGAGCATAAAATCCACAAGAGGCAACACTCTAGTGCGATTTGGGAAACTAGATGCCGCAGCAACCATTTTGGATTGAAAATTCCAATAGAACAACAGCATATTATAAATCTGTAAAATAAACTATTAAAAGTGCTGATGATTGTGATAGTAAGTGTTGTTGTCTTTCAGGTTGCATCTCAGCTTTAATGTGCTTTTTAAATAAATAAATAAAAAACGAAGCAGCTTCTTGCCATTGCAACAGCAATGAGATCCAATAGACGGCCGATCACTTTTATTCCAGGGCTGTTGCTGGGCGCTGCTGTTGCAATAGAACATTCTATTGAGTGTCGCCTCTTGGTTATTCTAAGCTTTTTGGTACACATCTAAAACCAATACATTATTATGTAAATCAAAACAAAACAACTGTATTACTATAGTGCTTGTTTTCCTAGTGCAGTTCTACAAGATATAGCCATTTAAGCACACTTTCCCCATTCCTCAGCATCATGTGCACAGGTTTTGTTTATATGGGAAAAGACTTGATTTCCTGCGGACCAACCGAAACACATCAACAGCTTTAGCCAGTTAGATAAATCCAGTAAATATGAAGGCTAGATTAAAAATCAAGTAAGGTTACTTTTCCCCCAACAGGATGCAGGTCTACAAAACACAGACCTCCTTCAATTTGTAATGTTTTTGTTTTGGTGACTCTGACCGAGTCCCCGGAGAAAGGAACGGATGAAGTGTATTTATGTCAGAAGCATGCCGTTTATCATTAATTATGTAAATGTTTTTGACTGCCGGACTCACTAAGGGCACAGAGACACAAAAACACATTCTTTTTCTTGCTTTTTTTTCCAGACACAAACATCAGATGCTGTGTGTGCCCAGAGTGAGTCAGAGTGACATCATGTAGTTTGGAGGTAACAACCCAAGGGTGTTTGCATTGTGAAAGCATGTATATTTATTAGACCAATGAGAGCACGGGTCAAAAGGTCACTGAGCATATGACTTTTACACAACATCTGAAAATTGACATTGACATTTAAATAGTGTTGGATGTAATTAGATACAAAGCACAGTAAGTTATTAAATGATAATCTACTGAAAAAGTAAAGTAAGATATTACTGTTCACTTTTAAGTCATTTAAATAGTTACTTATCATTACTTGTCTTAAATGCTATAAATAAAATGAGTAATTGTATATTTTCATTCATTAATTTTATTTTTTGGCTTAGTCCCTTTATTAATCAGGGGTCGCCACAGTGGAATGAACCACCAACTTATCAGGCATATGTTTTGCACAGCGGATGCTCTTCCAGCCACAACCCAACACTGGTAAAGACACACGCATTCACACTTATACACTATGGCCAATTTAGCTTATTCAATTCACCAGTGCTCTTGTTTGCTGTGAGGCGATCGTGCAACCAACCTTGACGCACATTGTATAATTTGTTTTGCAGATATATTTAGCAATAACTTCAACTATTTTTCAATGAATAGTTTCACTTGTCAGACACATTCACTTACATATCTTTAAAAAACAATGAATTAAGTACAAAAATAATGATAATATGTTTTGTGTAAACAATGTCATTGGTTTAAGCATTTAATGTTTTGATACAAATATCTTTTTTGCAGGGTAATTCTGTTTGTTAACTAAAGAATGTTAGATAGTTAAATTGCGTAAGTATCACATTTTAAAATAATTATTTGAATTGAATTTGTTTAATTTATATTGTGCATCCACTTAGACGTATTAAGACTTAACTTCCTTTTAAAAAGCATATACACTCTATGCATCACATAATGATATGATGCATAACTGTGCTCCATGCAGGTGATTGGGCTTGATAGCTACCTGTAGGACACACGCCTCCTGTCTTAATGCACCAGACATTTTGTTAGAAATACTCATATGCTTTATATTTTTGTTTCTGTGTTTCTTTATATAGCTGCTATACTTTCATTTCTAGCACTTCGTTTTAGCATTGATATTTATTATCTCTTTTTCAAATATATTTTGAACAGCATCTACACTAATTGTTTTCTTTGTTCTCTATTTCCACCTGGGGATACTCATCTCGAGGCCTCTAGAGCAGGGGTGTCCAAACTCGAGTTTAGCTCCAACTTGTTTCAACACACCTGGCAGAACGTTTCTAGTATATTTAGTAAGAGCTTGATTTGCTGGTTCAGGTATGTTTGATTAGGGTTGGAGCTAAACTCTATAGGACACCGGTCCTCCAGGACCAAGTTTAGACACCCCTGTTCTAGAGATTGTGCAGCGCTATTGATGGGATACAAGACCTGTGAAGAGATGATGCCAACTGTCAAGGACCTCAAGGACAACACATTTGAAGAGATGATGCCAACCATTGAGGACTTTGAGGACAACACATACAGTGCATGCGGAAAATATTCATATTGCTTCACTTTTTCCACATTTTTTTGTTACAGGCCTTATTCCAAAATAGAATAAGTCATTAATTTCCTCAAAATTCTACACACATTACCCCATAATGACATTGTAAAAAAAGATTTTTTGAAATTGTTGCAAATGTCTCTAAATAAAAAACCTAAAAAAAAAAAAATCACATGCTCATAAGTATTCACAGCCTTTGCTCAATACTTTCCTGATGCGCCTTTGCCAGCAATAACAGCCTCAAGTCTTTTTGAATATGTCACAAGCTTGGCACACCTGTCTTTAAGAATTTTTGCCCATTCCTCTTTGCAGTACCTCTCAAGCTCTATCAAGTTGGATGGGAAGCGACTGTGTACAGCCATTTTCAGATCTCTCCAGAGATGTTCAATTTAGGTCTGGACTCTGGCTGAGCCACTCAAAGACATTCGCCAACTTGTTGTTGTAAAGCTATATTGATATTTTGGTGGTGTGCTTTGGATCATTGTCCTGCTGGAAGATGAATTATCGCCGCAGTCTGAGGTCAAGAGCACTCTGAAGCAGGTTTTTTCTGACTAAGGCCCTTCTCTCCCGATCACTCAGCTTAGATTGCTGGCCAGCTCTAAGAAGAGTCCTAGTGGTTCCAAACATCTTCCACTTATGGTTGATGGAGGCCACTGTGCTTACTGGAACTTTCAAAGCAGCAGAAATTTTTCTGTAACCTTCCCCAGCCTTGTGCCTCGAGACGATTCTGTCTCTGAGTTCTACAGACAATTCCTTTGTCTTCATGCTTGGTTTATGCTTTGACATGCACTGTCAACCCTGGGACCTTATATACACAGGTGTATGCCTTTTCAAATCATGTCCAATCAACTGAATTTACCAAAGGGGAACCCCAATTAAGCTGCTAAAACATCTCAAGAATGATCAGTGGAAACAGAATGTACCTGAGCTCAATTTAAAGCTTCACGGCAAAGGCTGTGAATACTTATGTACATTTTTCAGCTTTTTAATTTTTAATAAACCAGCAACAATTTTAAATAATATTTTTTACATTGTCATTATGGGGTATTATGTGTAGAATTTTGAGAAAATAAATACATTTAATTCATTTTGGAATAAGGCTGTAACATAAACAAATGTGAACAAAAGTGAAGCGCTATGAATACTTTTCGGATGCACTGTACACTTAATTTCCAAATACACTTTATAAAACATACATATAGACACCACCTATATGCAATAATATAAATAAGTCATAAGTCAATATACATTAGTCAACATGGAAAATATCCAGTATTTATTTATATTATACAGTATTTCTTCAAAACAAATCCTGAATTAGAGCTTGTGTTTTTGATGGAGCGATGCAAAGAGGCAGGCAGATGTGAACAGAGAAGAAAGGAAAAGTGGCCTGAGGAGATGTGCTCTGTGAATAATGGATGGACGAGATGCTGAATCATTCTTTGCCATGCGCTAAAACACAAAATGTCCACTGTGCACAAACGTCCATCTGAAGGAGCGACGCCTGTTTCTGTGACATCATCACTTCTCATTCTAGACACAGGCGACACTCACTCCTTTCCCAGAGAAAAAGAGGAAGAACAGAAGGAGAATATAGAAAAAAACGAAAGTGCACTAAATAATAGCCTCCTCACGACATATCCTACCGTAGCCAGTTGCCTAGCAATGCAAATAAACACCTTAAAAGGTTCAGAAGAGGAAATTCATGGGGAATAAATGGGTTATTTATCTTGTTAAACAAACGATGTTTTTATTTACCTCATTAAATAACAGATCTTCAGTCGTGTCCTTTGGCAGTCATCTCCCCGACAGTCGCGATACGTGATATAAAGTCAAGGAGAATTAAACATACTAGAGAATGAATAGATGTACAGTATATGCATATATAGTCTTGCTTTACAAATATTTTAATGACTGAATGACATTGCATTGGACAACACAATAGTATGAGTGACATTTATTTTACAAGAACCAATTTATTTTCATGCAAAACATTTCACAATAAGATGTGAAATTGTTAACTAATGGTTGAGATGCCCCCTGGTATCTACTGAGATTTCTAACATCACACACATTCAAAAACAGAGAGCTGCTGAAATATTATGCATAAAACGCACACACACACATACTAAAAAACAGAGATTTACTGATACACACACACACACACACACACACACACACACACACACACATACTAAAAAACAGAGATTTACTGATACACACACACACACACACACACACACACACGCACACATACTAAAAAACAGAGATTTACTGTGAAATTATACGCATCAACCACACACACATACACACACGCTTGGCTGCCAGAGGATATATGATCAGAAGCTTCCCAGCGAGCTCGGTGGAGGAAACATACCAGCGATGCATCAGCAGAAATGTTCGAGGAAGCTGATTTTCATGCAGCTCTCCTTTATCATCTATAACAGAGAGAGGGAGACAGAAAGAGAGAGAAATATTATCAGTAAAAAACATATACATTCGTAATATGGAAAAATAATGAGACAAGTGAGTAATATAGAAAGAGGAACAGAAATGTTTAGAATATTTATAAACAGCAGCTCTTCAATGTAATGAGATGTTGTGTGATATTGATATAAAGAAAAACATTAGATAAAGTGGAGGATAGCACGGAGGCGCAGTGGGTAGCACAATCGCCTCACAGCAAGAAGGTCACTGGTTTAAGCCCTGGCTGGGGCAGTTGGCGTTTCTGTGTGGAGATTGCATGTTCTCCCTGTGTTGTTGTGAGTTTCCCTGGGTAACTCATCCACTAATTGGGTAAGCTAAATTATCTGTAGTTAATGTGTGTATGGGTGTTTCCCAGTGATGGGTTGCTGCTGGAAGGGTATTTGCTGTGTAAAAAATATGCTGGATAAGTTGGCAGTTCATTCCGTTGTGGTGACCCCTGATCAATAAAGAGACTAAGCCGAAAATGAATGAAAATGGAGGATATCAGAAAACATTCAATCGCAACTACACCAATCAATGAAAGTAGCGGTTAATTAACCTTCAGTTTTAATCGTTAATGTGTTAATTCATCTTGAAGCAATAATGAAATTAAAATTAAACCATAATTTACTCACCCTCAAGCATGTATTGGTGTATTTGTTTTTTTTTTGTTTTTTGTTTTTTTTCTGTCAGACGAACACAGTCGGAGTAGTTTTAAATTTAATCCTGGCTCTTCCATGAGGTATGATGGTGTTGGTTGGTGGCTTTTATTTTGAAACTTCCAAAAGAGCATTAATCCATCGTAAAACTAACCCATATCACTAACACAATCACTAACTCCAATTACTAGCTGCGTTTCCATTTAACAATTTGTATGCGCATTTAGGATATGCGCATAAAATATGGTTGATAAAAACACCAAGATGCACATATGTTTTGAAAATAAGCATAAAAACCATATGCGCATATCTGAGTAGAATAAACTTTTTATTTAATAAAAAAGCCATACCGAACAAATTCCAGTATGCGCATTAAAAAAAGTCATGTGATTTTGTAATGATGAAAATGTGTGTGAATGGACATACCAGCAGCATACCAGTGCATTGTAAAATTTCTGAAATGTTGTTTTGGTCATTCTAAAATACCTTAATCATTTCAGTATTAGTGTTATTATATTATAAATTATAAATTTTAGCATTTCATTGGTGTAACAATAATCCACCTTGACCAGAGTTAAATGAACACTTTCAAGAGTTAATAAAGAGCTTCATTGCAGATTTATTTAATTGGACATCTGGATGATGCTTCGCTCCGTGGAAAATAAGGATTTAGTTAATGATCCACTGCTGTTGTAAACATCTGTGATATATTTGCAGCATTTGTCATAAAGATTATGGCTTGAGCATCTGATTTCTCCTCAGTGATTATGTTGTTTAAATAGGCCTATATAAAGGTTATTTTACCGTCAATGAGGATGTAATGGTATTCCAGATTTTATTTTTCAAAACAAATATCGTAATATTAAAAAGGAAACATAAGCTTGACAACAAAAATCTATGTCGTAACAAATGTCCTTAAAAATGTAGCCTGTAGTTTACAGCAAGCATCAAGTGTTCATTGAGATTGTGTTGTCTGTCATATCTTTCGCTGTCTTTTCAAGTTTTTTTCTCGTAAGGCACGGCTTTCGAAAATGATGACATAAAACTCTGCTGGGTAGTTGCTCTGGTTTACATTTGTTTGGGTCTGTAATATTATTAACATTTTCATAAGGGTGGTATTGTTTTAAATGATGAAACAAGTGTGTGGTGCTGCCTGCTTTTAATGAGTCGTCTGCACAGTTTGTAGTGCACATTGCTCTATGTGTCGGATTTCAAAAAACTAAGTAGCTCCAGACTGAAGTCTAGTGACATTTCAAGTCTGTGACTCTGACCTTTTTTACCTTACTTTTTTTCACTCCTCCAAGTGCAACTAACACTGTATGGCTGTAACCTTGTACTGCGTGTGGGATCTGGAAGGGCAGGCAGCAAAATGCCTGCGCAGCGTTACGCATAATGCGCAAATATTATCGAACAATTTTTGAACTTTCATTATCGTTCTATCGAAAAATTATAAATTGTGATAATTATCGATATCGAAATATCGCCCAGCCCTAGTTCAGTCTAACTAATTTGATTTAATAAAATAACACTACTACTGTCTAAGTTAAATAATCAACATGAAAATAACACATTTTAATAAAACAAAAAGTTTATTTTTGCCATGATGACAGTAAAAAATATTTTACTAGATATTTTTCAACTTCTATACAGCTTAAAGTGATATTTAAAGGCTTAACTAGGTTAATTAGGTTAACTAGGCAGGTTAGGTTAATTAGGCAGGTTATTGTATAACAATGGTTTGTTCTGTAGACTATCGAAAAAAATGTAGCTTAAAAGGGCTAATAATATTGACCTTGACATGGGTTTTAAAAAGTTAAAAACAGATTTAATTCTAGCCGAAATAAAACAAATAAGACTTGCTCCAGAAGAAAAAAATATTATCAGACATACTGTGAAAGTTTTCTTGCTCTGTTAACCATCATTTGGAAAATATTTAAAAAACAAAAGAAAATCAAAGAGGGGCTAATAATTCTGACTTCAACTGTATATGATATGGTGCATGAAGTAAGACACATTCATAGTGAAAGCTCTAGCGAATAGACGTACCTCACTGGAACCACTTATCATATAGTTTGTTTACCTCAATAGACAACTAGTTGGCTTAGTGTTACCATATAATAATATACAGCATATTACAGTATTTCACTGAAAAAAAATTATTAAATGTTCCTTGGATTTACTTTTTTTATGTTAAGTGGTTGTAAATAATTTATTTGGGATAAATTTAAACAAACACATTAAGCTGAACATTGCTAAATGTAGGGCATCACGGTGGCACAGTGGGTAGCACAATCGCAAGAGTTTGCATGTTCTACCTGTGTTCGCATGGGTTTCCTCTGGGTGCTCCGGTTTCCCCCACAAGTCCAAAGACATGCGCTATAGGTGAATTGGGTAAACTAAATTGTCCACCTTGCAGCTGTAGGGGCATCTGCTGCGAAAAATATTTGCTAGATAAGTTGGCGGTTCATTCAGCTGTGGTGACCCCAGATTAATAAAGGGACAAAGAAGAAAAAAATAAATGATTACTAAATTTAATTTGTTTAAATTCAACCCATATAAATTGTTTGCAACTATTTTGCAGAAATCATTTTTGTTCAGTGTACAATGCTGCTTAGATGTGTCTACATGTCTTACATTCGTCCTTATAAGTCATATATGTCAGTTGCACGTAACATGCATTTTGCCCCCATTTTATAATCAAAAAATTAAGTAATTGTGTCATCAGTAATAATTCTGTTACAAAAACACATCAATATGCTTTATAAGACATGTTTTAACCCACTAGCGGCATATAAATTTTATGACAGATTTTTTTTAAGCTTAAAAAACACTATCCAAACAAAATTAAACAGCATGGAAGAGCCAGGATATCTGTCAGTTGAATCTGTGTTCAACTGACAGAAGAAAAAATCATAAACAGTGAGGATGGTATCAGGGTGATTTAATTGTGAGAAAATTCCAATTTTAGGTGAACTATTCCATGATTAGCTATAGTTATTTAACAGTGATTAAATAACATATGCAATCCCAGCAAATAAAGACACCAGCTGTGGTTAATGACAGGTGATTATGTCAATGGTTGCTTTTTCCAAACATTATTGAGAATATCTTATTTTGTGATTAACAGAACATATAAACAGACCATATAAATTTTAGAAAAGAAAAAAGTTTAGAACCACCAGAGTATTAGTAAATGATGAGGAAATTACGATATTTGGGTGAACTATTCTTTATTGAATGAGTGATTAAAATCAATTACCAGCAGAGTTATTAATACCTGGGATTAGACATTAAAGAGGTCAATGATCATATACACAAAAACCCATGATGATCAATTATTCTTTTGAGAAATTATTCATTCATTAATTTTCTTTTCTGCTTAGTCCCTTTATTAATCTAGGGTCACCACAGTGGAATGGACCGCCTGCTTATCCAGCATATGTTTTATGCAACAGATGGCCTTCTAGCTGCAACCCATCACTGGGAAACATCCATACACACTCGTTCACACACATACCCAATTCACCTATAGCACATGGTTTTGGACTTGTGGGGGAAACCGGAGCACCCGGGGGAAACCCACGCGAGCGTGGGGAGAACATGCAAACTCCATACAGAAATGCCAACTGACCCAGCCGAGGCTCGAACCAGCGACCTTCTTGCTCTGAGGCGATTGTGCTACCTACTGCTCCACCATGCTGCCCAACAAGTAATTACAGAGATTGAAATCATCAATTAATCAGGCAATTAATAAGAACGAAATCCATTACAATGAGCAACATCAATCATTAATACAATCATTCATTTAGCAATTGTTAGTAAGCAACAGAGATCAATAAGAGGATGAAACCAAAGAAATCTATAATAGCAACAACCGATCCACTTGCTAAGTTGTGATGTGAAATATTGTTTCTGGCTCCAAGTGTCCTCTAATTTGCATCTCAATTGCCTTTTATGACCGCTGTTCAGTCATATCACACATTTCAGTGAATCTTTTTCAAAGTCATCAATTGACATTCACTGCAGTCTCTGGACGTCCCGGACACCAATATTTCAATGATTTATAAAATAAGAACCACAGTCTGACCATCTGGGATTAAGCACGGATGTAAACATTACAATCAAGATTTTCAATAGTGATACAGCACACTGTGAGTGTCTATCATTGCAACTTGTCGATCATTCAAGAAGAATATGATTATGTGCGGAATATGTGAACAGGTCAATTACAGTGATGAACATAATGAATCAGTTTGAGCCACACGGTATCTGATAAGATGATAGTGGATAAATTGAGTTCAGTCATTTTAGTGTTCACTTACCAAACGCATGAATGCAGGCGTCCAGCAGCAGCTCCAGGGAAGCAGCTTTGCCGAGCGTAAATGACCCCATGACCTCCGTCCGACCTGACCTCACTGGGACATCCAGCTCTCTGCCATCAGGCAGGCCAGCCTCTGTCTCTCCCTCTCTCTTTCTTCTTCTCTCCTCTCTTTCACGTCTCCTCTGCTTTAAATGTGCTCAATGTGCTCAGCAGAAGAATGGCTGACTCTGTGCCTCGCTGCAGAAACAAACAAAACACTGTTAATAATTAAAAAAAAATGTACAGAAATATTTTATGAAGCTTTTCACATGCTTGCACCAAAGGGGCTTTATAGTGAATGGACTGATGAGGCTTTATAATGAATGAACGGATGCTGTTTAGTAATCACCTCTTGCTAAGAACTTTGTGAGACCATCTTTGTCTTATTCACACTTTGTGTGATTGTACTGCATAATACTGCCTTTATTTGTTTCTTTTTTACCAACTGGTGAGTGAGAAATGGGTGGTAAATATTTAAATGTGTTCATCTTCGACATATGGTTGTCATAATGAATACCTCATTTACTTTCATTTTAAAGTTTGGGTTTTTTACTGAACATCAAAAATTTTACAGCAAAATGGCAAAAAGTTTGAGTTCCTCTCTCTGCTCCCCATGCTTTCCTGTTATTACTCTCTACTGTCCTGTCCATTATGGGTCATTTCCACTGAGTGGTATGGTTCTTATGTGTTTTCTGCTGTCAAAAGGTATCAAAAAGCAAACCATACCATTCCACTTCTTGGGTACCTTTTCGATAGGGTACCTAGCACAACAAAAGGGTACCGAAAGGTGAGCCAGACACTCAGTGGAACGCTGCTGGTGTACAGAGCTACCTCACTAGCTCATGCACAAGCCAGAAGAATGAAAAAAAAGGAAGCGTCTTTTTTTCAAATAAAACTGCTGATTTATTTCACCGTAATAATATAAACATATAATCATAAGCCATGGTTGATCTAAGCTTAAACCAATCTTGATGTCATTTTGATGAACACCCACAAAGCCAAGAAGAAGAGTAGAATCTACCCTGTGCCCCGCTGTTGTTTACAAGGCCGTCTAAAGCACGATCGGTTTCACTTTCTTGAGAGAGCTCGCTGCGTGTCTATATTTAAAATACCAAACTTCTTGAGCTGGTAATAACGTACACGTGATTATTGTAGTGCTTCTGACATCCAATCCTCTCAGAAACAGACAAATGCGAGAGTGAAGTGTGAATAAAACAAAGGAGAAGCCCAAAAAAAACAAAGAAGCACATGATTCTTTCAGCAACCTAAAACATGAACAAACCAAGCCATGTTGAACTATTATCATCGTCTTTTGGACTATTATGAACTCAAAATGACATAATTACTTTCTAACAGAGGCTACATGAGCTGGTAAAGATTAAAGATACAGATGAGAGGTTTGCACTGACTGGAAGCTATATGTTGCGTGGTGATTTTGAACCCAAATGAGGACTACAAGTATGCTGTGTGTAGTTTTTCTGTAATTGATAACATATCGGAGACTTTAAGGATCTGTATGTGTTTATTTATGTTGCATTTATTTATTTAGTTTTTTTAATCGTTATAAATATATAAACGTTACAGTAGACTATTTCCCATCATTGATCTGCAGTTATAATCAAATCATGCTTATAGAAAGATTAGTAAGAAACATTTATACACAAGTATTTATGTGTATAAAGCATCTGTGTTGTGAGAAGTGCTTCTCATAATTTTTGTGAAAGAACTGTAAAGCTTTACTTTGACATTTCTCCCAGCGAGAATGATGTTGACAGGAACTTTCTGTCGTACGCCATGCCCACCTTTAATAAAAAAGTAAAAAGGGACAGAATTTAGTTGAAATGTACCAGAGTGTACTAGTTTGGAATTAATTGCTAAAGTCTCCATAAAAAAAAATCTTACTAAAATTTAATTTTTTTTTTCTATAAAGAAATTCAAAGTGTCTAAATCCTATCTGCCTCACCGTGTCTAAGACAAAACCCTTAAAAAACATGAAATTTGTGCCTTTAATTCATTAAAAAAAAACTGCCTTCTGTATGTTTCCCCCCTCACACAAACCTTTCTTTCCAAATGACAGGCCAATGTTAAGGTTGAATTGTTTGACTGCTTTATTTTTCTCTGAACTCCCCATGGCAGCTATCAATATTTCATCGCTCTTGCAGGAGCAGTGTTTGCTTGACGCTACATCGCAGATCACGATCCACACAGATGGCATGACATCATTCTGGCCCAGTGAGCTGGACGTGCACTACCTGATTAGAGCTTACATAACACTATAGTGTCTTTACTCATTAACGCTTATGAACTGTGCGTTTCCACACGTGAAGTACAACAGGCCCTTCACACCACTACTAAACCTTCCTCCTTCTCTTCTGTTTTTTCTGCTTTATTTTTGTTCTGTGTTTTGAAGATGACGTGTGTTTTTTTCCTGTACCCTTTATCTATGCAATCAAAACAGGGAGGGTAAGTGCGTGTTCCTGTGCATAAATAGCTAATAGCTTAAATATAGATTTGCGTTTATTTTAATTGCGGCGAAGATCAGAAAAAGGTGCAATCGAGAAGATCAACTACAAATTAGCCTTCAAAATACAAACACTGGAAATCAACTCTAGCCATAACAACAACAAAAACAACACATGATGTGAAGCAGCTGTTTGTGACAGGAGAAGGGTTAGATTAATCTTTTGGGACTTTCAGTTTGGCATTTGGCACATGACGTTGTCATACAGTATCTTTATAATGTTGTGATCATGTGCTATAAGGATATACAGTATTATTATAGTATGATATACTAACAGACTATTTTTCACACAAATGATCTGAGCAAACAAATGTTTAAAACAATTTATATTGAAAAGGATTAAAAGGTACAATAGATAACACTTTATGTAAAGTCTCATTAGTAACCATTTGTTAATGCATTTTGTAACATCAACAGTGATAATTTGCTGCCTTTGATGCAGAAGTTATGTTAATGTTGAATTTAAATAAAGTATAATTGAACTTTATTAATTATTACTGCCCTAAAACCAAATAAAGAGTTACGACTTTTGATTTACATTTACATTTTACATTTAGTCATTTAGCAGACGCTTTTATCCAAAGCGACTTACAAATGAGGACAAGGAAGCAATTTACACAACTAAGAGCAACAATGAATAAGTACTAAAGGCAAGTTTCAGGTCTGTAAAGTCTAAGAAGGGAAGTGTTAGTAGTTTTTTTTTTTTTTTTTTTTTTTTTTTTGTACAGTTAGTGTGATATTCAAATAGGCAATTGCAGATTAGGAAGTGAAGTGGAGACTAAATAGTTGAGTTTTTAGTCGTTTCTTGAAAATAGCGAGTGACTCTGCTGTTCTGATGCAGTTAGGGAGTTCATTCCACCAACTGGGCAGATTGAGCGTGAGCGTGAGCGAAAGTGATTTTTTCCCTCTTTGGGATGGAACCACGAGGCGACGTTCATTCACAGAACGCAAGTTTCTGGAGGGCACATAGATCTGCAGAAGTGAGTGCAGATAAGAAGGTGCTAGGCCAGAAGTCACTTTGTAGGCAAACATCAGAGTTTTGAATTTGATGCGAGCAGCAACTGGCAGCCAGTGCAAACGGACTAGCAGCGGAGTGACATGTGCTCGTTTAGGTTCATTGAAGACAACTCGTGCTGCTGCATTCTGGAGCAGTTGAAGAGGCTTGATAGAGTTAGCTGGAAGCCCAGCTAGTAGAGAGTTGCAGTAATCCAGTTTGGAGAGAACAAGAGCTTGAACAAGGAGTTGAGCTGCATGTTCAGATAAGAAGGGTCGGATCTTTCTGATGTTATAGAGTGCAAATCTGCACGATCGAGCAGTTCTAGAAATGTGGTCAGAGAAGTTTAGTTGGTCATCAATCGTTACTCCAAGGCTTTTCACCATTTAATGAGTTATTTAACATTAACTAATACGTCGCCCACTGAAGCTAAGCAGCGCTGCGCCCGGTCAGTATCTGGATAGGACACTACTAGGGTAGTCACGATACTGGAATTCGATACCAATCGATACTGAAATTTTCAAACGTCCATTTCTCGCGATTTGAGCGCTGTGAAACATGTTCCTAAACAGAGTTGATTTGCTATTGTGTTCACATGCTCAACAGAATTGACTGTGATTGGCAGTAAAGGTCATCAGTTCACCAAACTCATTACTGTTTACTGCGAGTAGACACAGATACAGGGACCCTGGAGTATTTTAAAGCTGTGATTCCTCAGCGGATTGTTTGTATGTCAGTTTATAGACAAGCTAGCTTATCGACGTAACTTTGAAACGCTCCAATGCCAGTGTGTTACCAGCAGTGAGTTCGGTGAACTGATGTCCTTCACGGCCATTCACAGTAATGTCTTTTGAGCATGTAAACACAATGGCAAATTAGATCTGATTAAGAACATGCTGCACAGCGCTCAAATGTTAGCAGGAAATGGACATTTTTAAAATGGTATCGCTAGGTATCAAATTCCAGTATTGTGACAACCCTAGAGACTACATGGAAAAGATAGGTTGTTGCCGTAAGTGGTGTTAGTGAGACCGGAAAGGGGCACTCAACCTGTTGTCCGTGTGGGTCCTAATACCCCACTATATTGATGGGGACTCTATACTGCCCAGTGAGTGCTGTCTTTTGGATGGGATGTTAAATCGAGCTCTCTGTGGTCCTTAAAAATCCCAGGATATCCTTTAAAAAAAAAGAGTAGGTCAATTTTGCCCACTGGTCTTATCCATTATGGCCTCCAAATCAACTGGTGTGTGATCTGGCGCAATATGGCTGGCATTGTATCTTCAAGGTGGATGCTCCACACTGGTGATGAGGAGATTCTCCCCAAAAATGTGTAAAGCACATTGAGTGTTCAGAAAAACACTATATACATGTAAGGAATTGTTATTATTAATTATTATTATTATAAAATGACAATCTAAGATTGATATAATTTTTGTGCCAATAAACTGAACTTTTAATTAACCATTAACTCATTAACCATTAAATAATTTTCAAAATCAATAAATGAAATGACTTTTGATTTAAACGAGTTATTAAACATCAACTAAGAAATTAACATCATCTAAGATTAATATATGTTTTACAAGTAGTTTTCATCTTAAGTTTAGTTTAATCAACTAATTACCCTTTTTGCACAGTGATAACAAATAGCAGGTCAATAAAGAGTCAATATGGGAATGTCAT